TATTGGGAGAAATTTGCCTTCGTGGAGGACTTTTTGATGGAGCTAACCGCATTTGCGTTACATAGAGAGGAAAACCTCACAAGGATAGCTTGACGGCAAGGGAACTTTAACCCATGATCCGTCTGCCATTGAGCATATTTTACGTCAATGCCGTGGTCGGTGCAAGCCGGGTGCGGAATTCGTATTGAACAATCATAGCTGGGATTCAAACCCGAGTCACCTAATTAGGCTTTCCCCCTTGAGCCACCATAGCTCACATCAACATTTTTTAATAAATATAACTTTTGCAAATCGATTTGTTTAATTATTTATGTTTTATCAGTCCTCTAGCCTTTCGAAGCTGAGTTGCTGTGACGGCTTTGTTATGAATTGACTGTTTATGCGTTTCTGAAATGGTATTTCTGTTTATTTAAATTATGTTAATTTTAAAGTTTTAACTGATTATTGTCTAAAATCATATTAAAATGTTTTATCAATACCAACCAATTTGTCAAACTCTTTTTACTTCCTTTCATTTAATATGCTAGTTTTAGTAGTTTGGTTACAATGTTATTGTTGTTGATTTTGATAATGATATAAGATTTTGATGAAGTTATTTTTTTCCGTCAGAAAAATTTTATTTGTGGCTTAAATATAGAGAAATATAGATTTTAATTTTATAAGTGCATATATTATTAATTTACGTGTCTCACAGTGGACTGATAGTTAAAACACGGTTCCCAGCGGATCACCGAAGTCGAGCATCAATGGCTACGGTCAGTGAACGGGTGGGTGACCACTTGGATCAGTCCGCGTAGGGACCGAGGGTGTACGGTATTGGTCCTCGTTAAACTGTTCTACCGTAAAGTGCTCGACTTCACGTGCAGGTCGTCAGACTACCGAAGCGGGGGTGCCATCCCCTCTGTAATTGTGATTGCATGTCTTCGGATCATCCTCAGGGGTGTTTTCCAGACCATCGCAAATAGCCCATCGTGCAGCTCTAGTGTGACGTAAATTAACTACAGCAACAGCAACATTAATTTACGTAAAAATTCTTGTAGGTGAATGTTTCTTACACTTCTGCCAAAAATAATAATTATAATAATTCTTTAAAAAATATCCATGTTATACCATCGCATATTTCCTAGCTTTTTAATATTTAGCTCTTTAACTCCTCTTATAATCTTTTCCCATCTTCTCTCCTTTTCACAAAAAATACATTCACTAAATCGTTTTTTTTTCCTGAAAGAAAAAAAAAAGCTGAAGAATGATATATTTTATTTGTCAATGAATAGTCCGTTTAATTATTTATTTATACAAAAAAAAGAAGAAAGAAAGAATATTTAAAACTGTTTCTTCGTTTTTATAATTACAATCCGCTTCGTCTACAAAACAGATTAATCAATATTTTTTTGGCTTGTTTTACGCTTATTGACATATTTGAACAAAGAAAGAAACTGTTAAAATTAAATAATTGGTTCTTATCTTCTACTAACCTACAATAGGAAAACAATTCGATCAATCTGCCACTAAATCCACTTAGCATGTTTCCACTTTTAATGACATAGTGATAAAAACTAAGTCATTGTTATAGGCAAAATCCAGCCAGCTGTTAATTTCGTTCTTTTTTTTTTCATTTGTCATATACTTCTGTTTACTTGTAGTTTGTTCCAATTAAAGTTACTATAACGGACCAAAGACAAATAATTTATGTGCTGTGTATGAAAAGTAAAATTTCCCATCACGTATTAGTTGAGTGCTGACAATGTAATAGTAAAGCTTTCTTTGAGAAAGCTTGTGACAGTTTTCTCTGTAAGCACACTTCATCAAGTATTATTTGAAACATCTACAACTGTGTTATTGAACAATATTAGTGTTTTGTAAAAATAAAATATTTTTTTTAAAATTAAGTTTAAATGAAAGAGCAATGCATTCTAAAAGGTCTGTTCAAAATTGAACCATATTACTGGTATTAAATGTCAATGAAATCATCCCCAGAAGTTGAAGCGGAAAGATATAATTAATGACATAGATCTTCATTGCTTAAAAAAAATATGAAGAAGGTAATACGAGATGCATGGTTTAAAATTTAGACTATAGGAACACTATGTATGTCCGTTATCTTAAATGCTATAAATCATCTATTCCTGTTCATCGTGGGAATCTTTGGCACAAATTCAAATTTTACCTGGGGTGAATTCAAATATGCTAATTAATTATTGCTAACTATTGATTAAATTACAATATTAGACACAAAAACGTACTTTCTCTGAATAAACACATATTTTATAGCATATTTGGATTCCTCTCCCTCAAAATAGGGGAACAAAAGTTCGAAAAGATTGGATCCTAAATTGGTTGCTTAGGAAGCTATATAGATTTGGCAATTATCCCAAAAAACAGCCAAGCAAAGTCACCACCACAAATGAGTAATTTACGATAACCCATAGACTAATTCAAGAGAGGAAAACCTAATTTTTGTCTGTTGCTAAGCAACCAAGTTCAGACAATATGAAAAAAAAATGTTCTGTGACTCCAAGGAGAGGTTAATTTATTAATAGTTATAGAAAAATATCTCTTTGCTAGAAGAGGTTTATTTATTAATAGCTAAGCGAAAAATATCTTAGTTTAGGCAAATAAGTTTCTAGGCAATAGACATTTTTTGAGCTGATTTCTGACCAAAAAAGCAAAGATTTTTTCTCCTTTGAAAAGAAAATTCGAATCAATAATTATTTATGATTTTCCAAGCCTTTAGAATTTGAACGCATGAACCTTTTATTGGACATTATTTGTGTTTTTCAAGTTGTTTTTACTTAATTTGTATGAGGATTTCATACTAAAATCAAATTTGCATGACTTATTGTAATTATATAAAAAATGTTTAGAGATAAGAATTTTTACAGCTTTGATCGAGACTTCTTCTAGACAAGAAAGTTTACAGAAATAAAAAAAAGGTGTACTGTTTGGTCTTTTAACCCAAAGGTAACGTATTAAAAAAATTACTAAATTCCTTGGGAGCCCTGTTAAAGTTTCCGACTTTCCGCATTAGTAAAAAGTTAGGCAATACTTTTCATTTTATTACAAGAAAAGATTTACGTAGAAAGAAGGCGTTACTACTCAGCGTAAATCCTGCCCATTCCCGATTTTATGAACTGATAAATATACAACTCGCTATATCTGATGTGCCTCCTAGAGGTAAGCATGAGAAAATCTTTAAAATTTGACAAATCATCAATTCAATTTTTATAAAAGATATTCATGATTTGCAGTAATAGCAATTTTTTTTCTTTTTGGATAAATTACATCAGAAATTAAGAGAGATTAAAATTTCTCTCTATTATACTTTTTCAAAACATCTTTCAACACAATTAAGTAATTATTTATTGTCCAAAAATTGTAACCGTGTCAAGTATCTTTTTAAATCGCTTTTCGTTCTCTAAACCGTTAAACTTATAAGATAAAGTTTTTCGTAAGAATGTTTTTCGCAAGAGATTTGTGACATTATTCCATTTCTTCTCTATCCTTTTACTAAACTATTAATCCTATAGGATCGGGCTAGGATTGATATGGTATCTGGATCGCATTCCTCTTGATGTTAGTTTAAGTATTGAGTCGAGATCATTGAAACAGTCTGAAGACGATGAATATGAGCTGGGAAAAAAAGATATTGTAAGAAATGCCGATAATGTGAGAAATTGCAATGGGATACCTGCAAGTGACGTAGTGTGGGTATCTCGATCCTGATTGGTTATTGAAACGTGGCTTTTGTTGACGCTAGCAACTGTTCTTTTTATTCTACTTCGAGGAAGCCAAGCCTTTCAAGTACCAATTCTCTTAAGTAACGCAGCCTATAATCTTTCACAAATATTTAAATTCTACCACTATATAATAACACAAAGACAGGCGCGAAGCCATGCAGAACAAAAACAAACTTATTATGCATCGAAGTTGCCAGGTACACAAAACAAAAATATATAACAGTTACAATTAAATACATGAACAAATAATAAATTAAAGTTAAGTAAAAGACTAGAAAGAATTATATAAGACTAGAAAGACTAGACTAGAAAGAATTATATTTCAGCAAATTTGATTTGCTATACGGCTCTCTATCTAATTAACTCAAAGTTAATTAATATTTTAAGTTATGTAGAGAGACTTAGCTCAACTTTAATGCTCCATATTGCTGATAAAGATTAGCTGGTACTGACGTCATAGGTCACATGCATGGGTATTGGTTGTCTTGTTCTTCTTGGAGTGCAAGAACCCAATTGCATACAGTGAGGTAAAATCATTCTAAAATGAGATGACTGGATGATAATCATAAGTAGGGGTTACGACTTAACTGAAGATTGAAAACCCAGTTCGCATCAGTCACAGTGCTGACGTAAATTATCCTCAGTGGTAGACGGATCATGAGTTAGAGTCCCTTTGCCGTCAGGATAACCGTGGGAGGTACTCATTTTCTTCCTGTCCATGTAAAGCAAATGCGGATTAGTTTCATTAAAAAGTCCTCCACGAAGGCAAGTTTATCGAAATACTTGATCCAGGAGTTCCCTTGTCTCTTGGATTGGGTTCAAAATTACAAGGCTACGGAGTTGAACATTAGTAGTTGTAACTTCAAAAATTGGGTCTGCTGTTCAACGATAGTTATTAAATAAAATAAAATACTATACATTAATAATCAACATAGCACGGCTGACTCGAGTATTTTCAATGGAAATTATTCTTAATTGAGAAACGTTGAATAGTAGTTTTGATCCATGTAATTAGTATTTTCTTTCGGTCACATTTTGAGCATCAGTAACATTGCTAATGGCTCGAACATGTGAGTTAGTTGGAGTAAAAAAAAGCGCGTAAATAAGGACATTTTAGATGGACACTAATACGATCAAGACAATTAAAAAAACGTGTAAGAAAAAGCAATTTAAGTTATTACCCAGACCTCGCACGAAATTTTATTGATATTCTGAGTTATTACGCAGAATGAGCGTGTTCAATTTTTGACAATAAACAAATGTTTATGAATAAAAAAGTGGTAGCAACGAAAAAGACATCATCACATACAGATGCAAGATACTTGATTTATTCAAAAAATATGCCCAGTAAACAATCGCAAAAGTGATGAAGAATAAAGGAAACAATTTCTTGCTTAAATTGTCAACAGATTGACTTCTTCGTTTATTAACAGAACAAAATTCTGAATCTGCCTCACAAAAAGCAGCAGATATTTTCGGAACAGTCTGCTTTGAAGATGCTGTCTGATGATTTCTAATTTCTTTTGAAGTGGAGCAAACGATTTTTGTAGAATGTTTTATATCACGTAACCAATCTTGGATCTTCACACTTCCAATGGGTTGGTTGGGTCTTTTATCCTGAAAAAAAAAAAAAATTAAATTTTCATTTTTAATAATTCAGCTTTGAGCGAAAAAAGAGTATCATGACACAATTTCTAATTATTTTCCTGCAAAATGACCTCTCTTGAAATCTGGAGATTATCATGCTTGAACCTCTTCCCCAAACTAGGCCCCCACTCCTGGATGTCGTCAGGGGGTGAGGAAGTGTGTCGAGTTTTGCGTTAATAGATAGGCTTTTCGAAATATCAAATAAGCTCATTTTTATTTCCGTGACCTGATATTTGACCATTTCTCAAGATATTTCTTATTTTAAACTATTTTTTCACCATCTTCATTGCAATTACAGTGTCACCTATTAACTAAAATGCAACAACCTGTATGTCAGAATGGGGTATTATTATTTTTTTTTGTTGAAAAATCCAAATCTCGAAAAAAATAGGTTTTTTTTAAATTTAAGATTTTAAAGTTACTCCTCACCCAGCCTAAGGGCGTGAAATCAGGAGATCTAATTTAGCATCATTGAGTGCATCTTCTGAGAATATTGTATCGTATATTTTATAATTTTCTGTGTGTTTCAAGATTGTTCTTCTAGAGATATATTTAATCTTCTGCATACATATGGACAATTTGCATACATGCATTTGTAACAAATAGTGATTTATATGCTTTTATTTTAAAGTGTAACATAGCAAAACTCGAGGTTCCAAGATTCTCAAAATTTTAATTAATTTTTTTTAAAATTTTTAATTTGCTTAACCTATAACCCCTTAACGATCGGTTTTTAAGAAAACGGTTAAGGAACGGTTTTCACAAAAGTGCGTATTTTTTTTATCCCTGAAAATTGTATGAAAATATGTGTATGAACAATATATATATATTCATTTTAAATTTTTGATTTGTTTTTAGCTTGAAATTTTAAAAAATTAAATTNTCCAAATCTCGAAAAAAATAGTTTTTTTTTAAATTTAAGATTTTAAAGTTACTCCTCACCCAGCCTAAGGGCGTGAAATCGGGAGATCTAATTTAGCATCATTGAGTGCATCTTTTGAGAATATTTTATCGTATATTTAATAATTTTCTGCGTGTTTCAAGATTGTTCTTCTAGAGATATATTTAATCTTCTTCATACATATGGACACTATGTATACATCCATTTGTAACAAATAGTGATTTATATGCTTTTATTTTAAAGTGTAACAATACAAAACTCGAGGTTCCAAGATTCTCAAAATTTTGATAAATATTTTTAAAATTTTTTAATTTGCTTAACCTATAACCCCTTAACGATCGGTTTTTAAGAAAGCGGTTAAGGAACGGTTTTCACAAAAGTGCGTATTTTTTTCCCCCCTGAAAATTATATAAAAATATGCGTATAAACAATATATATACATTCATTTTTAATTTTTGATTTGTTTTTAGCTTGAAATTTTAAAAAATTAAATTTTTAGGAGAAGCCAACATGACTATGACTTAATGTTGGTTTTCCAGCAAGCAAAGAAAATTTGAAAAATATGTGCTTTAAACATTAAAAAAGAATTTTATTAAACTTACGTAAAATATAAATAAAGATTAGTAATTTTTTTTCTTGTGTGATAAATTTCAAAGAATGAGATACAGAGGCCATCGTCACAATCTGGACAATAGTACCGAGTTTCCTTCCAGTATCTCTTATTGTTCTTATGTCTTTTCTACAATTTCTACAATTACCTTACAAATATCCTGGTTCTGCCACCTGGTGTGTAAAATGAGAAATAAAATTTTTTCCGGGCAAAAGAAATGAATTACTTTCATTCTTATTGGCATGTTACTACTGAACACTCTAGCCCGGAAATTTTACGGGAGCGAGAAATAGAGGGCGAAACCTCATCCCGTCATTTTCACGGGGGCGAGAAGGAAAGGGTTAAGCATTAATGGAGTAAATGCAAATTATTTTTAAAGTAACATTATCAAAATTAAGTTTTTTTGGCAAGAACATGCTCTTCTACTTCAAAAGAATATTTTAAATTTTAACAATAAATTTTTTTTTCTTTTGCGAAATTGGGATTAACTTCTCGTTAAAAAAAAGTCATGACCAATGGAATTAAAAATTAATCTTACTTTAATAAGAAATCTTAATTTTTATGATTAAATTCAGTAGTAATTTAAAAATAATTCATTTCTTATAATTATGATCAATTTTCTTTTTATTTCTATTTCAGGTGCGTTTTTTCGCCACTTGTTGGATAAAATTTGTTGGGCGCTTAATTGGTATTTTAAGATATTTGTGATTGAATATTTAAATTCCGACCAGGCATTTAAGGGTAAAAAATACGTGCCTGATCGGAATTTTACTTGCAATATGTTTTTTTCGTATGCTGGGGAATATAATTTTCAAAAATAGTACAGATGTTTTTGTTTTAAAACCGAAAAGTATAGATTGAATATACTTACATTTTTTAAAATTGAACAATTCTTACACAGTTGAATAGATAAGTTATAGGCAAATGCAAATTCCACTAAAGTTGAAAATACCATAAATATGCATACGAATAACCATATATCCATCGCTTTCATGTAACTTACAGGTGGGAATTGAGACTTATATTGCTCAACCTGAAATTTTAAAAAAAAGTTATTGTATATTAAAGCTAAACAAAAATGTTTTCAAAAAAGATAATTTTTTTATAAAATGTATTTTTACATTTATCTTATGGTTTTACATCGTGGAGATGGCACTAGTATTTTCTTAAGACCATTGTTATTTTTTTCATGTAATAAACAAAATGCATATTACTAATGCTAATAACTTAATGCTAATTTTGACTATTTATTGTTATAATTTTTTTCTTTCAAATTTTACATCTATTGTAGACTATAGATCTAGAAATTTATTTTGATTTGACATTAACTTGATAATTCTTTTAAAACACATTATGAGCGTTGATGAGTGGTGCACTTCGAATGTTAATTTATGCAGTTACGCGTTACGTAATCAACGTTTAAAATCATTTTGAAAAACAAAGTTTTCAGATCAGAGAAAGAAAAGTTAACTTTATGGAAGTCTCCTCAGTTAAGAAATATGAAATTATGTTGCTGTTGCTTTGGTTGTTTAATGACATAGAAGGTTACGGGATCAATTTTTTAATAGGAAGTGAGTGCTAAATGATGATTTAAAGTGTGGTGAGTAATTTAAAACTTTTTGATCTGTAAGTAAAAATTTGTCCTCTAACTTCGAATTATCTCACATTATTATTTAAGTTAGAGTGGAAAAAAAGGAAATGAAATAGCATTATAAATTTTCCAAATCATTATCGCGATTAACCACATAAAAAGAAACATCAAAATCTTTGAAATAAATTTTATCATTGGATTTAAATAAAAAAACAAAACAAAAAGCAATAGAAACGAGTAACAAAAACTTGTAACAAAAATTTTATTTGTGGCTTAAATATAGATAAAAATGGATGTTAATTTTATAAGTGCATATATCATTAATTTACATAAAAATTCTTGTAGGTGTATGTTTTTTACACTTTTTCCAAAAATAATAATGATAATAATGCATGAAAATGCCCATGTTATGCCATTATAGACATCGCATATTTCATAGCTTTTTAATATTCAGCTCTTTAATTCCTCTAATAATCTTTTCCCATCTTCTCTCCTTTTCACAAAAAATACATTCACTAAATCTTTTTTTTTCCTAAAAAAAAAGGAAAAAAAAAGGCTGAAGAATGATTTATTTTATTTGTCAATGAATAGTCCATTTAATTATTTATTTATACAAAAAAAGAAGTTTACAAGTTTCAACCTTATTCATTTTCGTCGTCATAAAAGAATATTTAAAACTAACTGTTTCTTCGTTTTTATAATTAAAAGCAAAACAGATTAATCAATATTTTTTGGCTTGTTTTACGTTTATTGAGATATTTGAACAAAGAAAGAAACTGTTAAAGTTAAATAATTGGCTCTTATTTTCTACTAACCTACAATAGGAAAACACTTCGATCAATCTGCCACTAAATCCACTTAGCATGTTGCCAGAATTAATGATATAGTGATAAAAACTAAGTCATTGTTATAGGCAAAATCCAGCCAGCTCTTAATTTCGTTCTTTTTTTTTTTTTCATTTGTCATATACTTCTGTTTACTTGTAGTTTGTTTCAATTAAAGTTACTATAACGAACCAAAGACAAATAATTTATGTGCTGTGCATGAAAAGTAAAATTTCCCATCACGTATTCTGGCTATGTAATAGTAAAGCTTTCTTTGAGAAAGCTTGTGATAGTTTTCTCTGCAAGCACATTTCGTCAAGTATTATTTGAAACATCTACAACTGTGTTATCATTGGATTTAAATAAAAAAACAAAACAAAAAGCAATAGAAACGCCTTTCAGTTTCATTTTTAAACCAATTCACAAGCCCTGACATGAATATGTATTTTCACGAAATTATTTTTGACAAAGATTTTGAAACAGGGATTTGGGATAATCTCATTTTTACTGATTTAGATTTACGGATCACAGTACAATGAGTTCACATTAGGATAAGCAGTAAAATAATGTTATTATACCAATGATTTCGATATTCTAATTTAAAAACGATAAACATCTTTTTTAAATTTATCATAGTTCTAAGAATATAGCTATCAAGTGATTGCAATCGTTCATGCCAGTTTTGAATCACAATCAAATAGAAAGAAAATATAATTAGGGTCTGGCAAGGGTGCAGAAGAATGTGACCAATTATGCTCTCCCTATAACACTATATTCCCCCTACTCAGATGTTTAGGAATGTATTACGATGTTTTACACTAATTCCAATACCATTGCCATAATTCTGTTCGTTTTTAGATGGCCAAAAATGTTTTTTCTTCAACTTTTACCATGCTTACTTTAAGTTATATGTTTGATGCAGTTGAGTTCCATATAGTTTTCAAACTTAAAAAAAAATTAATGAGTGTGAAAATCAGGATAAAAACTAAGACATTTCCTACTTCTATGAGTACCCAAATGCTATTAGAGAAAGAATGTTAAATGTTCTTACAGGTAAAGAGTTCTGCTAAGCGCCATCTATAACCAACTTTGATCGCCCATAAGTAGTGAGAGCCCATAAGATCCGCTGTTGTCCAGGAAATTGATGGAGGTTAAAGCTCCATAAATTCGTGGAGTTAACGTCATGATGGGGGCAATGTGGTCAGCATTGTGCACCGACCGACTTTACTTCTAGGATAAGCCGGTGCCTTTCTATTTGAATTGTAATTGTGAAGCAGTGGGGTTCGATCTTTTCAATTGACACAGTAAAAGTGTATTAGTTGAAAAGATCGAAAGGAGCTTTTCTTTCATAAAATCTCTTAAATAGTAAAAAAAAAAAAAAATAAAAATTTAGTAAAACTAAAAAATCATTTTTCTGTCTTTCTCTGAAGAAAAACTACGTAATTTCTCATCATAATGTAATTTCAAAAATATTTAAAACGTTCTGAAACAAGTAAAGAAAATAATTGAAATTACAATATTGTTCATTAAATCCAATAACGCTAATTACTTCTATTAACTTCGATTAAATCAAATAATATTGATTAAATTCAAAATTTAGAACAACGTTTAAAAAATTATAATAAAAAGAATAGTAATGATACATTTAAAGAATAATTTTTTGTTCATTTCAGTATATGAAGCTTGAACAGCCCAAGTGATGTGACCCTCCCAATCACCTGATTATTAAGACATGATAAGTCTTCATTAATGCTGATATATAAAGCTTATAAGTCATGTTAAGTCTTCAATAGGTTTATTACAGTGCAAGAAATTTTGAAGTCACCTGATATTTGAAGGCTAACCAGTATTGCCAGGAAACGAGAAAACTTACTTACCTGGGTACAAAGAGTTAGTAACGAAGTAATGCTGAGGGCTACTCTGGCTGGCACAGCAGTTGTCTCTATCCAAAATGTGACCCAACTCATAATGACTATCAAAGTTGATGGAACATAAGTGTTTATTATGCTCCCAGTTAACCTCCGTACCAGTGTGATGTTGGCTATCAGGGTTGTGTAGGCCCCTGTTTGAGTGTTTAAAGAGTGAATTAGAATTTATTTTATGTAAAACAAATTCAACAATTATTTGTGTCAAAGAAAATGTAGGTTCCGCTGCAGAATTTACCAAAATTTCTACATTTCTACATTTATTTAGTTTGTTTCAGAAAGTGACGTATAATAGAGGGTTTCATCACCACTTCTTTTAGATTTCCTGGAGATAGAATCGATGTTCAGCTGTAAGTGGAAATATTGAAAAACTTAGTCAATGAAATAGATAAACAATTATTCCCGTTTGTACGATAATGAACACAATGTAGCACAATAATGTAGAGCACTTACGGTAGCAATGCAGTTTTTGCGAAAATTTAAATGAGAATTTCTAAGCCCTCGCCAAGCAATGCAAAAACATTGGTTTTCAGACGGACGATAAAGTCATGGTATGCGGAGCAGTTGGTTCAAACAACAGCTTATGTTTTTATATTTTTAATTTCTTTTATTATTATTATTTTTTTATTATTGATCCTAGTTCCAGTGGTGCAAATGCCTACACATTTGAGGGCAATGCTTCCGAGTTTTATTAAAAAGAGGTATGTAATAGTTCCTGACTCGACAATTATAGCTTCTGACATTTTTTAATAGAGATTCAGTGGAAAAATTTACAATTGACTACTTTTTGTAGAAATGCATAGAATTCAATTACAAAGTATAGGCATTTTGAAAGAAAGACAGTTCATCATAGTCTCTGTTAAAATATAGGCTTTGCGATTCATCAATGCTTTAAATTGATCAGATTGTTAGAGGGAAACTTAAAATTCGATTGCTTTTTAAAGCAGAGATGAGAACTCGATTTCAAAGAAGATAGCATATTTATTTTTTTAAAAAAGTAACACCATCATAAACTAATCGAATGAAAATGGGTTTCACAATGTATGTTTGTTAAGTGGACATGAAAGCTAAATACTATGGATCTTTAGGAATTCTCTTAGAATTTAAGAAAGAAATTCTTTGCTTAGTAGAGTTATTTGTATTATAAAATAAAATTTAAATTCAAACAGTCTTTCTTTATTCATTTTATACTGTTTTCACTTTGCTAGAAGCGTTGTATTGATAAATGTACTTACTGTCTCCAAAAACTTCAGTAACAGAATGAGGTGTTGGCTTAAGAAGATAAAACTGCAATGGCTCTGGTTGGCGTACCATTTCAATTACATCAATCATGTCTCGATATGGACTGTTTTCATCATCAATCCATTTTAGAACAGCTTCTGAATCAGGATGCACTAAATTAATCAAGAATAAAACATGCAACAGCATTAACGAGTAACAAAAGTTTTAGAAATTTTATTTTCATTTTTTACTATTTTGTTATTTTGCATCATTAATTTATTTCTGTGACTGAAAACTAGTCCAGACAAAATTTATACATTAAACGGGGTTATTCATAATTCCCTTCGCCTGCAAACGCCATTTTTCTTTACTACAACTGGCTTCAGTGGTACATGTTACTGCCATCTACCGGCAAACTGCTTAAATTAAAATTTGAATACTTTCGAAATAATTCCATATGTTCTTTTTTGCCATATTTGTCTTCGTGTTTTTACTATAAAGCTTCGAAACCCCGGAGGGAATTATGAATAACCCTGTAATAATATCATCTGTATTTATAACAGGCAAAGCCTTTACTCACTCATCAATAATTCTCCCACATGGAAATCTTAGATCTTAAACTCTTTTGTAATTATTTGAGTAATTAGGAGTTAATTAGCCTAATTCACAATAATGCTATATAACACGTTTTTACCAAGATAGTCTTGAATTGGGAGTATTCTTAGAAGTTATAAAGATAAATTAAAGAAGTTTAATTTCGGTATTTTGCAATTATCTGGATAATTAGCCTGAAATTGACAGCGACATCTGGATAATTAGCCTGAAATTGACTAAAATTTGGTTCTCTGTTTTTTATGTGATAAATGGAAAAGGACTAAAAAAGTTTCATTTCTATATTTGCAATCGTTACGGTTTACCGGAGTAATTAGCTGGTAATTAGTGTAATTGGAAGTTATGCAAATATCGTTTTTAGCAAAATAGAAATCTCAAGTTCGGACCACTCGTCTTTATTAGATAGGAAGAAAAACTAAAAAAATCGGGGTAATTAACATGAATTGACAGTAATGCTAAATAAAATGTTTTTATCAAGATAGAAGTCACAAATTTAAACCATGTTTTTTTAGATTGTGTAACCGGTGAGTTTGTGTAGAAGAACTAACCGGTTTCCGCAGGATGTAAAATGACGTTGAATTACATTAAAACCGAATACTTACTTAGACCCACTAGAAACAAGCAATTTTGGACGTCAAATGGGTACAATGTAAAATCCATGTTGCAACCAGCTTTAAATAAATACCTAGAAGTTATAGAAGAGAATATTTCAAACTTTATGTCGATCCAAAAGCTTGTAGAATAGTATAAAATGTGGTTCTTCATTTGTACTTCTTTCAAATTTAATTTCAATATTATATGAGAATAAATTGTTAAGGGAATTAGCATAGTTTTAAAGCTTTATTGAGATTTCGATGCTTGATTAGTAAAATCTAACAAAATTAATTTATTTATGATGTTATAAGGGAACAGCTTAGAACTCAGATTTATTTTTAAATGTACGAACATTTCAGAAAAAAGCAAAAGTAGAATTTTTTTTTAAATATTTGAATTTATTAAAAAAAACATAGTATTTTATTTAACTCTTTGTCTGCAAATTCTTCCATTTTCATTTCAAGTATGAGTTTTTATCTTACTTTTAGTGATTTTAAAAATATTAAAATATAAATATTGCTCTAAAATTCTTATAATACATTCCAAACGTTTCATTTACAAGCATTATATAATTACTGTAAAAGCGGAAATCATCTATAAAATAAAGAAAATAAATCATGTGCTTTTATTTCGTAGAATGCTGCTTTTTTCTTTCAGCAATTATTTAAAATTATTAACAAATCTATTGAATCCCGTTTAAATATGTTAAGTTTTCTCTTCCGTTAAATTACATTGTTGGATAAAACCAGAACTGTGTCAGCCAGGGAAAAAAATAAGAAATTTTGCCACTGGCCTNTAATTACAAATTTACAAAAAAATTGGATTTCGGGTAGCCCCGCTCACATGAATGTCGGGTATCACCGCCCAATTTTATTTCGTCGATAAATGTACGGTTGCAAAGATTATTATTTTATTGCTTCAAATTTGAATGTTATATGCATTTTAACAACAGATATTGTTGTTATTAAATGATTGTCATTAAATGATAGAATTCACTAAAAGTATATTAATATGTTATAAATAAAATAATTTTGTGATAAAAATTTTTAAATGAGGTTTATCTATTGTCAATACATTGGTCACTTTCATTTACACCTGAAAAAATGAAAAAACAGCCAAAAAACATAATTTTTGTAACTGGGCAGGGCCACCCGACATATTTTGAAAAGAGCTGAAAAACATGTTTTTTGAAATTTCTATTTTTTTTAAGTTAAACTATTCTATTTTTGGTTTATTCTTTTTGCATTATTTAATTAGATGGTAAAACAGTAGAAATATACAAAAATATTGATTATTAATCAATATTATACAGAAATATAAGCAATACTCTTTAAGTGAGCGGGGCTACCCGACTCTCCCCTATATAATAGTTTCTGAAGTGACAATTATAGTTTCTGACATTTTTTTAATAGAGATTCAGTGGAAAAATTGATAATTGACTACTTTTTGTAGGAATGTATAGAATTCAATTACAAAGTACAGGCAATTTGAAGGAAAGACAGTTCATCATAGACTCTGTTAAAATATAGGTTTTGCGATTCATAAATGCTTTAAATTGATCAGATTGTTAGAGGAAAATTTGAGATTCGATTGCTTTTTAAAGCAGAGATGACAACTCGATTTCAAAGAAGATAGCATATTTATTTTTTTAAAAGAGTAACATCGCGATAAACTAATCGAATGAAAATGGGTTTCACAATGTATGTTTGTTAAGTGGAGATGAAAACTAAATACTATGGATCTTTAAGAATTTTTTTAGAATTTAAGTAAGAAATTCTTTGTTTAGAAGAGTTATTTGTATTATAAAATAAAATTTAAATTCAAACATTCTTCCTTTATTCATTTTATACTGTTTTCACTTTGCTAGAAGCGTTGTATTGATAAGTGTGCTTACTGTCTCCAAAAACTTCAGTAATAGAATGAGATGTTGGCTTAAGAAGATAAAACTGCAATGGCTCTGGATGACGTACCATTTCAATTACATCAATCATGTCTCGATATGGACTGTTTTCATCATCAATCCATTTTAGAACAGCTTCTGAATCAGGATGCACTAAATTAATTAAGAATAAAATATGCAATAGCATTAACGAGTAACAAAAGTCTTAGAAATTTTATTTTTATTTTTTATTATTATTTTAATTTTTTTTAATCGCGTCCATGGACAATTAATTGGCCTCGTGTGCCTTCAAAACTGCATCCGCAAGCTCCTGTGCATCATCACTGTAGAGGATCTCACGAAGTTCTGAAGCCAGTGACACCATACCCAGTTGTAAAACATATGGGGTAAGGGCTGGGCACTCGAGAATGTGATCCGGGGTAGGTTGGATATCGGTGCAGTTCTTGCAGGGAATATAAGTTCTTATTTTGTCGGGAGGAATTTTCATCCCTTTAAAGTGGTTTGTTCTTAGTCTCGTAATTGTTGATGTTAAGATTCTGGAACACTCAAAGTCAGTAATGAGGGGTTTCCTGAAGGAAGTCTGTATCTTGCAACTGCATTTGCGTCTGCAAGCCTGATGGTGGTGCAAGGATGGTCGGCACCTCTGCCTTCCTTAGCCAATGAGTCCGCACACTTGTTTCCTTCAATATTCACGTGAGCCGGGATCCATTGCAGCAAGCAGGATTTCGCATTGCCGTGCAAGCCTTCAAGTAGGACATTTATTCCAGAGGTGACGTTAGTTACACCGTTGTTGATTGCCTCTTAGGCCGCTTTTGAGTAAGAGAATATTACCAGTCCCTCAGATGGGTCTGAAATCTCCTGATTGGTCATATAAAATGTGAGTGCCTCCTTAATCGCACGAAGTTCACTGGTAAAGTTTGAAGCAATTAATACTATTTTGTTATTTTGCATCATTAATTTATTTCTGTCACTGAAAACTAGTCCAGACAAAATTTATACATTATATTAATATCATCTGTATTTACAACAGCCAAAGCCTTTACTCACTCATCAATAATTCTCCCACTTAGAAATTTTAGATCTTAGGTTCTTTTGTAATTATTTGAGTAATTAGGAGTTAATTAGTCTAATTGACAATAATGCTATATAACACGTTTTTACCAAGATAGGAGTCTCGAATTTGGAATATTCTTAGAAGTTATAAAGATAAATTAAAGAAGTTTAATTTCGGTATTTTGCAATTATCTGGATAATTAGACTGAAATTGACAGCGAGGCTAAATAACACGTTTTTATTAAGACGGAAGATCTCAAATTTGGTCCTCTGTTTTTTATGTGATAAATGGAAAATAACTAAAAAAGTCTCATTTCTATGTTTGCAATCGTTGGTTTACCGGAGTAATTAGTTGGTAATTAGTGTAATTGGAAGTTATGCAAATATCGTCTTTAGCAAAGTAGAAATAGCAAGTTCGGATCACGCGTCTTTATTAGATAGAAGGAAAAACTAAAAAAAAAAGCGGGGTAATTAGCATGAATTGACAGTAATGCTAAATAAAATGTTTTTACCAAGATAGAAGTCACAAATTTAAACCATGTTCTTTTTATATTGTGTAACCGGTGAGTTTGTGTAGGGAAACCAACCGGTTTCCGCAGGATGTAAAATAACATTGAATTACATTAAAACCGAATACTTACTTAGACCCACTAGAAACAAGCAATTTTGAACGTCAAATGGGTACAATGTAAAATCCATGTTGCAACCAGCTTTAAATAAATACCTAGAAGTTATAGAAGAGAATATTTCAAACTTTAAGTCGATTCAAAAGCTTGTAGAATAGTATAAAATGTGGGTTCTCCTATTTTACTTCTTTCAAACTTAATTTCAATATTTTATTAGAAAAATTTAATTTAAGAAAACTGTTAAGGGAATTAGCATAGTTTTAAAGCTTTATTGAGATTTCGATGCTTGATTAGTAAAATCTAACAAAATTAATTTATTTATGATGTTATAAGGGAACAGCTTAGAACTCAGATTTATTTTTAAATGTACGAACATTTCAGAAAAAAGCAAAAGTAGAATTTTTTTTTAAATATTTGAATTTATTAAAAAAAACATAGTATTTTATTTAACTCTTTGTCTGCAAATTCTTCCATTTTCATTTCAAGTATGAGTTTTTATCTTACTTTTAGTGATTTTAAAAATATTAAAATATAAATATTGCTCTAAAATTCTTATAATACATTCCAAACGTTTCATTTACAAGCATTATATAATTACTGTAAAAGCGGAAATCATCTATAAAATAAAGAAAATAAATCATGTGCTTTTATTTCGTAGAATGCTGCTTTTTTCTTTCAGCAATTATTTAAAATTATTAACAAATCTATTGAATCCCGTTTAAATATGTTAAGTTTTCTCTTCCGTTAAATTACATTGTTGGATAAAACCAGAACTGTGTCAGCCAGGGAAAAAAATAAGAAATTTTGCCACTGGCCTCCGGCTTGTTGTAGCCCTCTTAACAATGGCCACTTTTTAAAACATGTGACTTTTTCTAAAACTGAAAATTTTTATCGATTAAATAACATCGTTGGTATTAATAATCTAAACTATTTCTTTAGAAGCATTTCTCAAAACACGGTAAACATTACAAGGTTAATTTCTAAATTAACCTTGTTTACCTTAACCTTAAAATTTTAAGAGGCAAGCGCGAAATAAAATAATTTTCCGAATATAGTAAAATATTTATGGTGGCGACCATTACGTACAGCCAGGCCAGACATAACCTTACATTTCTCACAATAAAATTTTTGTTAAAAATGACTATAATTTCTAAGTTACACCTGCTGAGAAGAATTGTTTCCAAATTATTATTGTTGCTGTTGTAGTTAATTTACGTCGCCCTAGAGCTGCACAATGGGCTATTAGCGACTGGGAAACATCCCTGAGGATGATCCGAAGACATGCCATTATAATTTTGACCCTCTGCAGAGGGGATAACAAATTATTATTATTATAATAATGTTATTAAGTTTCAGAGTACAACCCAGTTTACTCACCGCCTGCTTTTAAAGACAGTTTCATCTTGGAAAACTTCAAGAAGTGCATCTGTAGTCAAACCTTGAAAGCTTTCAATGTGCTTAACAGTTTCGAAATATATGTCTGGTTCCCATATGTAACGCAAACAGCATTCATGCAAGAACATCGGATATTTAGTAATGTTCAAAGCACTAAATTTCAGTCTGCTATCTCTCCACGCTGTATTCACAAAAACATGAAAAAGGTAGTCCTGAAAAGTAATTTTTTAATCTTCAGACGTTGGTGCTAAAACTCAATGAAAGAAATTACAAGACACAATTGTTCCAAATTTTGCGAATGTCATGCAGTCACGTTATGCACACATGGTTTAATCGAAAAAACTGTTAAAATAGGGAGGGCATCCCGCAAGTTTACGTAAATTTTGCGCTGCACAATAACTTTAGTTCTCTGCAGAGCTTTGCACAAAACCTAAGTATGTGAGCTCTCCAATAACTGCTCTAATAACTCTAAGAATTGGTGGCCGCCTCATCCGTTCTTTACCTGTAATTTTTTAATCAGTAAATCTAGAGCCGCGATGGCTCAGGGGATAGAGCGTTCGCTTTCCAGTGAGGTGAACCGGGGTTCGATCTCGGTGATGACTGGTCGATGCGAATTCGGCATCCGGCTTGCACCGACCATAGTGCTGACGTGAAATATCCTCAGTGGTAGACGGATCATGGGTCAGAGTCCCCTTGCCGTCAGGCAAACCATGGCAGGTTGTCGTCTTTCTCTACATGTAACGCAAATGCGGGTTAGTTCCATCAAAAAAGTCCTCCACGAAGGCAAATTTCTCCCAATACTTGATCCAGGAATTTCCTTGTCTTCTGGATCGAGTTCAAAATTACAAGGTTAAGGAGTTGTACATTAGTAGTCGCAAGCCCAAAAATTGGGTCGGCTGTTCAACGACGGTTATCAAACCAAATCAAATCAATAAAGCTATGGATGGCTGACCATCTAAAGCGAATCACAGGTGGCTTTAGGGGTTAATTAAAACTGCCTGGTTACTACCCTCGATTTATATTTACTCCAAACACTGAAAAAGCGCTCCGACCAGTATTATTATACTCGTAGTGTTAACAATATAACGCGTTCTTTCACTTAACCTCTAGCTTAATCCGTTAGGTTTTAGCAGAAGATGAATTTAGATAACCCAAAAGCACGCTGTGATGTTACCCAAAAAATAACAAAAGGCCATACTTTACGTAAATAAAGGAAATAAGGGATGCCACTGAAAACATGGAAAATCTTACGTTTTATTTGTGTTGTGATATTTATTTTCCTAAATTTGTTTAATATTCACCACTGTTGAAATTTATAAATTACAGGAAACTCATACGAATGGTAAGATAACGCGTGAATACAAACCACAAGAATAAAACTTCTTAGATTATCGAGCTTGTTCTCATATCACCTTGTAAACGTAACGTAAGCGGAGGGATAAGCTGGAAATTTTCTACAATTCTTCCGGCTTTAAAAAACTTGTTATTATTTACATTCAGTCACACATGCATAGCGCTTGTGTCGTTAAGGTGCAGAACCGGCCTTCTCGTCAAATTGCTTAGGGGAAGCACACGCATTTATTTTTCATCAACTGGAAGTGAGTAAATTTGATCAAATCCACATTTTATATGCGTTTGAAAGTCACATTTCTCTGCCAAAACGGCTAAATCCTGCAGATGGTGAGTTGTAACATCTACCATTTGCATAGTTAAAACGGTTCAGAAAACTTATACAGAGAGTTCAAAACGGCTAGTTTCTGTGAAAATATTCACACGAGACTCAGTGAAGTTACAGAAATAAATTAAGTCAATCTCTGTAAATTGCTTCCCAGTTCTAGTCCTTTACGCCAAGCCACAAAAGACATGATATTACGCCACTCCACAAAAGAAACATTCCGTCGCAAATTTTCTTTCCCCTTTACAAATAATTTAAAATATTGTAACAAAACTGCTACTTTCTGTGGAGCCGGTGGCTCCGAGGTAAGGCATTGATTTACGAGGCCGAAGGTTGGGTATTCGAATCTCATCCGGGGCATGTCGACTAAAAGTGATTTTTGTTGAAGAATATATCATAATTACATCTCATTCTTTCGTAGTTGTTTATGTTGTTAATTTCCCAATTTCTAAAATTTTCGGATTCTGGAATGCTTTGTTCGAAAAAGTTCGACAGTTGTATGTAAGCACACATAGATTCAGTTCAGTCGTACAATGTCTCAAGATGAGTTTGTGTTCTTCCACCTTTAGTATAATCTCCCACACATCTAATCTACCCGGCAATATGGAAAAAGTGAGATCTGACAAACCAAGACTAAGCCATGAAGTTTTAATTGAGAAGAAACTGTTTTAACTGAGAAAATTTTTTTTCCAAACATCAAAATGCGAGCAAATTATTGGAGGAGAATTTCTCCATTGCTTAATCTTAAGTTATCTTCTTAAAATTTATTTTCATTTAGATATTTTTAAATTTTTGTACTATTGTGATATTATATTGATATCTTTCATCTGATATTTGTTCTTTTTAGTAGTTGAATCGTCGTAGCTTACTCTTGGTTTGTCTGAACTCACTTTTCTACATTTTAAACTTAAAATTAATTATGGAGGCGAAATAGAATTTGTGATGAAAAGTTCATCCCGTGTTCTGGCGTCCTCTTAAATCCGAGTCAATGAGACATGATCGCAGAAGGTGCAACTCGATCAGGCGCTCATTATTAGCATGGAAAATTCAACCCCTGATGAAACCGTAGAAGACAAAGATCTACCTATCACAGAGGGGCCGACTTTTCACCCTGGAATATATAATAATAATCATCATCATAGTTGGCCAAACAGCCCAATGTGAGCCAATGCCTCTGAAGATTTCTCCATGACGACTTCCGATTTATCTTTGATCTCCAATTCCTTTCATCAATTGCAAAGCATTGCATTTTGCAAAGAAAGACAGGATTGAGTATCAGAAGAAAAAAAATATATTCCGTCGCATTCACTAATCGATAACTTCTAAGTAAAACCACCTCATCTCCGAAAAGTAATCAAAGCAACCAAGGCACCTCTTGAAGATTAAAACTTTCACGGTCTTTCATATCCTGCTGAGTAATAAAATTAACGCTTCTCAATTCAGATGCTTTACTTTTTCGTTTAGAGTGATGGCTTAATTTCCGGCGTGATCAAATAAATCTGAACAAATGATTTGGCTTTACTTGGACGGCAAAAACTCTTTATTCATTGTGGCCTTTTGAGGCTGTGAATAGCTTTAATCGAAGCTAGTCCCGATAATTAGTCTCCCATCTAGAAATGCTTTTCGCTTTAAAGGACGGTGAAGTTATTTTAAGAGAAACTATGGTACATTAAAATATTAAATGGGAAGTTTATTTTGAAAATATTTAGAGAGAATTAATAAAAATTCTTAAATTTATATTTAAAAAGAAAGGGAAATAATATGTTTTGAATGTGAGAAAGGTTTTTCTTTTCATTGAATTTAAATCGTTAAATACACCTGCTTTGCTAACTTAAAGAAACAAATTTTGCAATGGAAATAAAAAAAGGATGTTAATAATGCATGATTTTGTGTTTTTCTCGAAATGAATCCACAGCTTTAAAAAAATAGCTTAAAAAATAAAATTTCGTTTTATTTTTTTCAGTTCTAAAAGNCATCCCGTGTTCTGGCGTCCTCTTAAATCCGAGTCAATGAGACATGATCGCAGAAGGTGCAACTCGATCAGGCACTCAGTATTAGCATGGAAAATTCAACCCCTGACGAAGCCGTAGTAGGTAAAGATCTACCTATCACTGAGGGGCCGACTTTTTACCCTGGAATATATAATAATAATCATCATCATAGTTGGCCAGACAGCCCAATGTGAGCCAATGCTTTCCTCTGAAGATTTCTCCATGACGACTTCCGATTTATCTTTGATCTCCAATTCCTTTCATTAATTGCGAGAAAATCAGACTCCACTGAGTCAGTTCATCTTAACCGCGGCCTTCCCCGCTTTCTTTTTCCAGTGGGTCTAAAAAGCAGTATCTTTTTTATTGTGTTGTCGTCACTCATTCGAATCACGTGGGCAATCCAATTCATTTTATTTATTTTTATGTATTTAATAACATCAGGTTGTTTATAAATCTTGTACAGTTCAAAGTTAAATCTCCTTCTCCAGCTATTGTTTTCATTTGCACCACCAAGTATACCCCACAAAATCTTTCTCTCAAATATTGCGATACAATTTTCCTCTAGTTTTGTCATTGTCCAAGCTTCAGAAGCGTATGTCAAGACTGGCTGGACAAGAGTTTTGTAACTTAACTAATTTGAACTTTAGTTTGTAAATTAAGAACTTTGTTTTTCTAGAAAGAAACCTAGATTTAATAAATCTTCTCAGCCCATAGACAGCCCTATTTGCCAGATATAGTCAGTTTTTTACTTCAGGAGTAATTCTGTTGTCAATGGTAATAATTGATCCTAAGTAAGTAAAACTCCTCACTGTTTCAAATCTATAAGAATTTATTTCGAGATAGGGGTCAATATATAATAGTCCATTATAATAGGGGTTAATATTTAATAGAATACGTAATAGTGCATTGTAAAATCTGAAAGAAAGTGCCTTTAGAAATAAAATTGGTATTTCTATTAAATTTGATAACGAGAACCTCTTTACGATGCATTCGAACAAGATAATGGCCTAATTTTGAAGAGATCCTTGTTCTTTTTCCTTGTATTTTTATAATGTAGAATCAAACGGATAAAACTTTTTTTTTCAAGATTTCGTACCTGATAGAAAATAGAAGAAGAGACCCATTGCTTATGAAAGTGATTTTCCAAGATACCTTCTCTTATTATGCGAAAGTTGGTTAGTTATACTTATAAAACTCATCCCTAGATTAGTTGCTTTAGACTAATATTTAGCTAAGAAATCGCATGTCTTTTGCATTGAGTTTAGAAATTCTGAAAAAAAATCAACGAATCAAATTATGTGAATTTTTGCAGTAAGGAAATGAATATTTTTAATGAAATCAAACCTACCATTTTCCCCTCATCTATTTCTCCAATATCTAAGACTTGAAGTGCAGCGTATATGACACCTTTATTTCCTACAAAATAAATTTTTGACAGATTAAGTTAGTGTAAACTTTTTTTAAAAATTATATAGAATTGTACTATTTTTAACTGAAGGACTTACCTTTATTTTTAGGGGGTTCATTACATTCGTATTCATAATCAAGGATATCCAAGCAGCAGCTATCCTCTTTTTTGCTTAAAATTTTTAAGATATATATAATAGACAGATACTCTTTGAAAAAATATTCAGAATTTTCTACCATAAAAAACAAAATTATTATAAACTTACTTAAAATTGTTTCAATTTTAAATGAACAAAATAATTAATTTGACACTCCTCAAAAGACGCACAGAATTTTCCACAATAAAATGGGCTTAACAATTAATAAGGCTTAATAATTAATAACCTTACCTAAATTTTCCTGAATTTTAAATAAATAAAATACTTTTAGTTAATTTAAAAAATTCAATTATTTTGTTCTAGATTTAATAATATTTGTTTTTGAATTAAGAAGGAGATGACTTTAAACTCTTGACTTTTTTTTGTATTTTTATTATTTATGACTCAAAAAGTATGTAAGAAATCACGAATTTAATTTTAAAGTGCATAACTTTATTTACCATTTTAAAAACTTTAAATTAAAAATAAAGCGTCTCAAATCTTGACCGGATCAAAAATAATACACAATTAATTTTTTTCCCCATTTTTTCTGTAAGGTGCGCACTGTAACAAAATTTTAGTGTATTTCAACACCAGAAATGGTGACAACTACTTTACAACTAAGTTTCGTAGTTTAACACCCTACATAACTCTTGTATTTTACTACACCAAGAGTGTTCTTTTACACTACTTGGTATAAAATAGCTTCTACCATTTTTCGTATTCAGTAAAACTAAAATTTAAAACTATAGTACCTGGAAAAAAATAAATTTCGGTAAAATTTCTGTATTGTATGATACATTTCTGGTTAAAAAACTTCTCTAATACTGGTTTATAAAACCAAAATATACAGTGTTTTACCATCCATTTGATAATTTTCCCTTTCATATGGTAACATTTAACAGGAAATTCTGGTTTTAAAAATTATGGTTCGTATTATCCCATATCTAGTACGAATGCAAAACTGAAAAGTAAATTTAACCAAATGAATAGTTTTTATGTGATGCTCTATGGTAGCATGATAAAATTACTAAATTTTATCACAGTGACCAATTTTTTTCATTTATTATAAAACCATATTTTATTGTTGATTTTACTGGAATCATTACCAAACTACTTCGGTAAAAATTACCGAGTTTTTTTGTGTTCCTATAGAGTTACAATCACGGTAAATGTTACCATATTCTAGGAGTTTTGACTATACTTTTTTCTCTCTCTTGTGAGATAAGATATTCATGACAGTCAGTAAAGTTATTTTTTCTATGGAATGTAAAGTAAGAATCATTAGTTCAGGAGATGCACCTATACACTAATTCTTAAAATAAAATTATTTTGTAAATCAAGCATACGCGTATCACAGAGAGAATATTTAGAATTCGAACTAGGCTTAAGAAAACCGAAATTGAATATTATGAACATATATTTTTTACCTTTTTATGATCGATTATAAACAAACATTTGTCGTCTGATATTTTCTAAACGTAAGCCAACATTGGTGAAAACATCTCATGTATGGTTCTTGGTGTAAGCTTGGTCACCATTTATTGGAGTTCGTACAAAGATCATCTTTTTTTTAATAGGGTTTGAGTCGTCATGATTGAAAATATCCAATTTACTTGATACTTCAGAGCTGATGAATCGAGCAACATTATGTTCTTTGTGTAAGTATGATTTTTGCAAAGTAATTTTAAGATTCAAATTAACTACCTATTTAAAACTACACTAAGGGGATTAAAAAAAATAAAGAATTATTTTTTGAAACAAACGTTTTAAAAACTAATTTATTTTTATTTTTTCTTAACAAAAATTAAAAACGTTAAGAGTTGGATAAAAGTTTGAGTCCACTATTTTGACAACCAACCATTTAATATAATCATAAAATTTAATCTTACTTTAAGCTAAATATAGCTTCAAACTAAACATAAACTTTAAACAGCTTAAAATTTATATTTGCTTATTTAAACATCCGATTAATTTTTATTTTTATTTATTTATTTATATATTTACATATATTTTATTTTCAAGGATCGATTTAGGTAAATATTTGACAGATAAAGACAAAGGAAAGGTTGTTTCTCTTTCAGTTGGTGGCTTAAGTGACTGGCAAATTTCTGATAGAATTCAAGAGCCAAAGACCGTTGTGCTCAATCTTTTAGTTTTTTTAACAAATCCAATTAGTTTTAAAAAAAAGTAATGGTTGTCTGTCAAAGCTAATTTTTCATTCTCAACTTTGTATCATTTAAACAGTGCTTAACTAATCTGCTAATTTCAAAGCAACCACATCCTCAGTGTAACTTCCGGCTACATCTAGTTTAGAATTACTATTACATTTAGTTTAGAAACTTCCGGTTAGACCGTATCAAATGTGTTAAAAAATTGTGAACATTAAGAATTTCGTAAATCAAAAGCTAAACTGAACATGCCGATACGATATGTTTAAGGACATATAAATTTGTTATACGACATTCATTATTTTAAGCAAAATATAGGTTTTAAACTTGTACTTATTAATGGCAAAAAAATGTAATCTAGATGGATCAGATTAGTTTAGATATTAATGGCATGATTTAAGTCAAGAGTTTTTGTATCTACCAAAGTATGATCAAAGAGGTGTCTTAATGTGAAATCTAATGGGAATTGATCTGAATGGGAATTGATCTAATGGGAATTCATCGGAATTGATTTCAAGGGCTGAAATAAATTCGATAGATTACTAAGATATTCTTGCCAGCAATTTTATCCCCTTAAAATGCTTTATCTATAAACTCAACTTCATTTATAAACTGATAATGCTTCAATCTATAAACTTAGTTCAAAACAAAATGTTTTCAGAGCGCAACACTAAGCGACTGATGTCTCTTACCACAAGCATGACTTTGAAACTAGAGAAAAATAAGTGGTGGGTTTAGTTAAAAATGTATTTGAAATAAAAGCACTTTTTTTGAGCTCTAAAATCATCATTCAAATAGTCGTAGCAGAAATTGCTTATTATCAGCAGCAAAATTCTTTCCAAATCGCCTTTTAGAAGTTATTTGAGTAAAAGGTAAAATTATAAGTTACTGAAATGATAATGGAAAAGGAGTTCAGATTTTTGATTTTTAGAAGAACTTTTATTACACATCATTACTAAATATTTTCAGACCAGTAATGATATTTAATAGTAATGATAAAGTTTTACCCTGACACCATATTAGTTATTGCATGAAGTAATAATATAAAAATTGCCATATTTTATTTTTAAGTTATTTAAATGTGTTTCATTTCCAAAGCGATGTCTGTTCTACTCGCAATTAATGAAATTTATTTTAAAAAATATCACATGGTATCGAATTTTTTTCACTATTCCAGTATGTGGACCAAAAAATCCGTTAAATTATTTTCAATTTCAGTTTCTTAGAATGAATTGTAATGCCAATTTCATAAATTACCTATTTTTTTCAATGAAAAATCTATCTAATAACTTCTTCACGTTTCAAGAAAAAGTTTTACGGTTTTTTTGTATTAAATATTCCATTTTTAATATAATGTAGTTTTTAGAAGTAATCCATTGAACTATACCAAGTGTATTACATTTTTAAATACACTGGGCTTTAAATGAGTAAGAATATAGAAAAGTTTTACAACCAAACGAATAAAAAAACATTGCATATTAATATGATATACATACATTAAATTAATTTAAAAAAATTACCTTTCTGAACATTTTTCTATCAGTAGCATGAAGCCAACTGAAGTAAGAAATATTTTCAAGAGTAGTTGCATTATCAAATTGTTGTAAACGGAAATAAAAAATAAGAACGAAAAATATGATGCCAATATTGGTCTGATTTAGGATTCAGAGTTATGTTTGTCACTAAACCACGCACCACTTAAGAGCCTGTAGAGCTAGAAAATTGTCATTAAACTGATTTGTGCTTTTTAAGAATTTTTTTCAGATTCTAATGATAAGTGCTAAACATAATTACTAAAGGATGAGATATAGGTGTTTATTTACAATTGCAAACAATAAGATTGCCATTGAAATGGTGCCAAAGCTAAAATAGATATAATAAAAAAAATCGATTGAAATATACAACAAAAGGCAAATGCGTGTTATCAAGGGTAGGCCAAATGTTCTATATGTCACGTAAATTATTCAAAGCAAACACATTATAGATTTTCTGAAGCTACTTGACATATTCTGAATGATTTCTAAAAATGAATGGATTTTTCTTTTTAACGAAACTTTGTTCTGAGAAAAGAAAATGCCTTGAAACTTCAAATAAATTTCCATTATGCATGAGTTAAAAAAACATTGCTTTGTGGAATTTTTTGAGTTCTGCTGTTCCCTTTAAAACTGACTTCGTTTTGAATTATAGAAAATTCATTAATGTCAAAACTTTTCTAACTCATAAGATGTATATTGAAATGGTATTCTATCGATTAAAACCGTTACTTTAAATTTGAGAAGGTGTAATTTTTAAGAACAAGTCTGTTCTTTTGAAAATGATCACGAAAGATATTATTGAAAGATATTATTGACGGGATTTATCTTGAATTAAATATGCGACTTATTTCTTTTTTAGAATTTATTTAGAGAATGTAAGAAAGAAAGATTTAGAAAATGGATTTGGTGTTTTAACTATAGTTACTAAAAGTTGTTCAGCTTGTTTTTATTCATAAAAAATTTATTTTCTTTTAAAGGTTCTCAAGACAACATTTGCCTTACTGTTCATAAAAACAGCGATAAAATCCAATAAATAGAATTTTCTCATAGCTCAAATAAGTTAATAAAAGCTCGTTTTGTAAATAAACGTATTTCGGGAACTTTCATTAAATGTAGTATCAAATATCGACACTATGGATGATTTCGAATAAAATGGTTTCGGGCTATTGTAGTAACAGTTTAATTTGCAAATTAATTTCTGAGCTTTTATGTGTCACTTTTACCAGAATTTCAAAATCTGTATTAGGAGTACACTAATTTTTATATTCGATTTACGAAACACATTGTTACATACTTAACTGAAAGCGCAGTAAGTATAATAAAGAAATACTGTTTCAATATTCCATTGTAATATTTATAATTTTTTTCTCACATTTATTACAATCGTAAGAAGGTAGTTGTAAAGCAATTGTGAGAATTTAAATTGCATCTAAATGAATAATTAACCGGAAAAACAAGCGTTGTTATGAACAGGAGAGCAATTCCAGAGGAATATGATCAAAACTGATCGTATGGAGGTACTATGAGCAACTGACAATGAGCAACTCCTTGCTGAAATCCAAGTAAAATGACAATATTAGATAAACTCAAAGGTATCTTTTTTTTACCGCGTGTCATTCAACAGAAAATACAAAAACTTTAAAAAGAAAGAATTCTCCAGCTGCAGCCTTATTTACTTGACCTCTACACCCAACCACGACTAAGCACCTATCCCCATTTTTAGGGCACTATCTTTTAACGGCCAGCTATTCGACTAACCTTGTTAAGTCTGACTGTCATAAATTTTAATTTCGGTAAAATTATTTATATGGTAAAATGATTCAATTAGTAATTCAATGGTAAAATAAATAATATATTAATAATGATTCAATAATTATTCAAAATTCGTAGTAATAATTCAATAACTCAATGGTGAAATAAATGGGAGAAATCAAAAACCTTCTTGCGACTGTCTTTGAAAATAAACATGGCAATTTCTCTATAAAGAGGAAATTCAAAATGTCTAAAACGTTGAGAGATAAAAGAAAAGGAAATGAGCAAAATCATTGGTGAATACAAACTATTTTCGACGAATACATACTATATTTTTTCTTTATAAAAATATCCTGAAATTAGTTTTATCTCTTTGAGGAGCAGAAAATGTTTTAAGAAATAAAACACCAGACTCGTCACAATTATTTAAGTTTGGCTCTAGTAGAACAATTTCTTTAAATGAATTTTTACATTATTTTGTATACTTTGTGAATTTCGTTGAAAACCAAAGTTATTCAAAGAGTTAAATCAGACGCAGAAATTTGCAATCTTTCCGAGTCATATCTTCTCAATTAAGTTATATTTCAACAAGAAAAGTCAGCTCGTTCTATTTCAGTTCTGCTATCGCTATTTTGCTGTAGTTATTTGAAGTAACGATAGCTACAAGTTGATTGTTTTATTTTATTTTATTTCCGTCGTTGAACAGCCGACACAATTTTTGGTTTTACGACTACTAATGTTCAACTCTGTAGCCTTGTAATTTTGGACCAATCCAGAAGAAAATGAAACTCCTGACTCAGTACCCCCAGAGGTATTGATTTGTTATGGGAACATGGAGGACTTTGCAACTCGATAGATTTAACGTGCATCAGTCACCATTTACTACTCGGGGAGTCTTCGGCCGGTAGGAATCGAACCCACGAGCTCTTGTACATGGGCACAGCTCCCCACCGACCAGGCTATCCCGGCCTTTAAGTTGATTGTTTACAACTTGGTATGAAATTTAAAATCTAATAATTGGTATTCTATCGACATCATTGTTTTCTCATAGATCGAATTTATTATGCACTGCATCGAATAAACAAACACATCTTTAAACTAGATAGGGATAAATGTCCGCCAATTCACAAGAAAAAGAAATTTAGGAAAGCTAAAATTGTTTCTAAAGGAAAACATGCTACTTACCACATCAAAATGTGAGAAGTTGAATGTGCTAACTGTTAGAACTAAATTAGCGTCGATAATGAAAACAAATTAAAAAAGAGAAAATCAAAAAAAGTGAGCCATATTGACCTGGTAAAAAGCACTCAAAAATTTTGACTTATTAGTTATCAAGAAATTGTAAAAGTGTGAACGTGAACATTAATTATATTCTTATTACATATTTAGTATTCCATGTTTTGGCAACAGCAGTCCTTGTGTACGATATAGATTTTGAGTTTTTAGAATAACGGTGTGCGTAAATTTTAATAAAAGTAAACAATAAATGAACTGCGTTTGTTTTGTTTTTCTTTTAAAAGTTGTTTCTTACAAAATTAAAAAGTAGTTGATTGTTAGCGACCACTGTTGTAATTTCAATCATAAGTCAAATTTTTCTAACTGTAAGATCTTTTGCATTATTAACATGTCTGTAAAGGTGAATTAGAGCATGGCAATTTTTTTGTTGATCGTATTACAGCCCTTTGGTCAGCCTGATTTCTTATTCATTTCTATTCTTTTTGAATTTTTTGGTACCCTTACTGACAGTTTACTATTGTTTATTGGTTATTTAATTGATTAATTATAAACCAAATTTTGTTCATTATTGTTTCATCTCATGAGGATCGACTTCAAACCATTGTTAACTTTAATTTTATTATGAAGTGATAAAAGAAATGTAAGCCGGAAAAAAAATAATTTCCGGCTTACATTTTCATCTCTTTGCTTGAAAGTAATGATTATTATGACAATATTTGTCCTAAAATGGGGAAATAAAGCACTAATGAATGAAAAAAAAGCAATAATGTACAAATAAAGAGTTAGAAATTTTAGTTTTATTTAAAAAGTAAGCCCAATATATTACAGCAAATAAAGTAAAAAAAAGGGGATAAATTTTTTTGCTCATGTTGTCCACAAATTGGCTTTTACGTTTATTCCTTTCGCAACTTTTCGCAACGTTGTCTTGAGTTTTCAAACAGATTGCCAATTTATATGAAGCTGCAGATTTTTCAGGAGGATGGATTGCTTTTTTGACATTTTTGGAATCGTCTGACCAAGAACTGCACAAAACCATACGTTTATTTGGCTTCTTATTCTCTTTCAGATGATTTTGTAGCTCTTCCTGAAAAGTTAGTTTTTTCAAACATCAGTTTTATGCAATTCTAAGTTAAAGAAAAAAATTTTCAAAATTTTTTGGACTGGCTGTTTTGTTTGTGAAAATTTAAAAATTTTTCTATAATGCAATGGATATCTAAGTATTAGAAAATATTAGTTCTGAATGAACTGGATCGTAAACAAAATCCAAAGATAATTTAATTTCAGGTTTATTCAAAGATAATTTCTCATCAAAATTAAGTTTTACTTACTATTTAAATATTTTTGTGCAAAAATGGTAGAAAAAAATTTTGAATTTTAAGCGTAAATTATTTTAGAATAAATTTATACTGTGAAAATTTGAATGACAAAATAAGAAATTTAATGAAAATTGGTCAAATTGTCCCCGAGATACATTTACTTTTTAAACTCAAAATACTTTTATAACTCAAAAACAATTTGATTGAATTCGCAGTAATTTGTATATGATAAATAAATATTAACCACTTTTTTTTACATGAAATTATCTTCGATTAAATGGATTTTATAATTTAGTGCAAAATGCTTATGATTCACTTAAAAATTTTCTGAAATATGGTGAAATAAGTAAAAAAGGAAAATTAGATTAAGGTGCACACTTTCGTCCGCTATTGAGATTATAAAAAAAGATGTTTTGTTCATAGCAAGCACTTTTATGTGCGTTATTTTGCTACACGACTAGTTAGTAGCGCATATTAATTGAAGTCACCTCTTTGAACCATTATATTTGCTCTTAGTTTGTGAAAATCCGATCATAAGAATAAAAGTTATTTTGGTCAGTATCTTTTTTTAAAATTCAGAATGCTGAATTGCAAGCTTAATTATTAAACTTATCGTAAATATGCAAATAGTTTTTTTAATAATCATTTTAATTTAATCATTTTTGTCAAGCAAAGCAATATGGTACTACAGATACTACCAATTTCGGCCATCCTCTAATTTTTCCAGCAGAATTTGCACCTAGAACATAGCTGTAATTTTTTGCTTTCACTTTTTCCTGAGAATCAAGATTCAACACAATTAAAATTATAGTTTTAATAAGTGTTTTTAATAGTAGCAATATTTTTATAATATGTTTTCGTGAATTAATACAAAAAAAACCCAATGGAACTCATTTTCGATTAAACAGAGCTGTAAGTCAACAATTCTTCATTTAGGCTATAGTTAGCGAAAAAGTGGTCGGAGGGGGAGATTTTTCGAGTAGATACTGACTATCATTGTGCTTTAATTTTGTCCGAATTGGTTCAGAATTGTGAATTTAAATGAAAACAATCATACATACAAATATACATTAAATATATTGCTGCAGTCTACATGGGCTAAAAGAATGAACTAAAGCTATAACAGTAATATTATTTTAGTACTTCAAAATTAATATTCGAAATTTTTCCGCTGTAAAATTTCATTAAATTTGAAATTAGGGATCCCAGGTTCTTCAATTATAACGAGGAAATGTGTACAAAAATTGTATACATTTTGTGAGATTAATATTTAATTGACAATTTTCTTGAAAATTATTCTTAAAAAGAGTTACAAAACGCGTCTATGGTCAAAGCGTAACATTGTAATAATTTTGCACTCTACGTTACATGAATTTAAAAATTATATTTATTTATACAAAAACAGATTTGCTGTTAAAGAGGGTTTGATCTTGAAAATGTAGAATATACAGGGTTATTCAGAATTCCCTCCGGAATTTCGAAGCGTTATAGTAAAAAAACGAAGACGAATATGGCAAAAAAGAACATATGAAATTATTCTGAAAGTATTCAACTTTAATTTAAGCAGTTGCCGGTAGATGGCAGTAACATGTACCACTGAAGCCAGTTGTAGTAAAGAAAAATGGCGTTTACAGGCGGAGGGAATTATGAATAGCCCTGTACATTCTCAGTATGTGAACTTAGCTGATTAAATAAAATATAGAGCAGACGTTTATAATATAGAAGGCAAAACAAAGAGCAAAGTTGTTCCTTTTCTTTTACTTTTCAATTTTTTATAAAACCAAAAATGCCTTTATCAGCATACCATTATTTCTAAAATTAGTCTATCCCTTTTAGCTAATAAAATTTCATAAAGTTCAAGAATAGTTGAAGCAAAGCCTTTAATTTGACGTATGGCTATTTTGTGTCACCTGATCATATTACTGAATCTAACATTAATTGTCAGCATGCTTACATTTTGATTGTTTGAGCAATCTTCACACAATTTAGAAGCTATGTTATATGATATTGCAAATTCAACCAGAGTCGAAAAAACCACAAAGATGCATACGAATAACCAAATATCCATTGCCTTCATGTAGCTTACAGGTGGAAGTTGAGATCTATAATGTTCAACCTGTAAAACAAAAAATACACAATGGAATGTAGATGAAGTCTAATTTTTGCAGCTTTCAAAATATAATAATATTCAAACGCAGATACGAAAAAAGCAATTTAATTAAAAAAATTACTATCTGTATACTAATGGAACAGTATTTGTGACTAGACATGTAGTTCCCCCAATTTGTTTCGGCTACGGGACCCTAAATAATCGAATTTTTTTCGGCGGCATTTTTTTTAAAAAAAAGTTTATTAGCAACTATGAATATGCTAACCGAAATAAAAACTACCAATTATTTTGAAAATATTTAAAGTGTAGAACGAAATTTTTAATATTACTAATTTATTCTTGGTGTATGTATTTGCTGAAAATAATTAAATTAAGCTGAATTATGATTCTAAAAAACGACCCTTATTAAAAAAGAGCGTTTAACTGAGAATTGTTGTCAGAGAAATGTAATTCTTTATTCTTAAATTTAGTTATTTTATTTTAAATTGAAAAGCTCAATGAGAAAGAATTATTGAACTTCTTAAGAAACACATATCCTTTTCATAATTTATTCAATATATTGTAATTGAAGAAATATTCTTCTATTTAAATTTTGGTACTTCTTTAAATTGGTCTTTTACATAAATAAGTTCATATAAGCAATTGATACATTTAAAAAAATATGGATTATTGATTGAAAGTAAATATAAATATTATTGCTTAAAAAATTCTAACTTTAGGTATGCTAAGATTCTTTTGGAAAACTGTCCTTCGTTATTATTTATGGTTATGAGGAAATTTTCGGTACAGACTGGTCAAATTTATTCATACAAATTTTCATACTCGAAAACAAAATATAAAGTATTAAGAAAAAACTAAACTCAGTGGCGTGACAGCCCATAGAGGGCCAAGGCCTAATGTGCCCATCTCAGTTTTCTTGACCTTGGGCTCTGGGGTGCAGGAGCAGATGTTCCGGTGATTAGCCGAACGCGAAGCCTCCCGGTGTTTAGTTCTCAAGCATGCTTGGTACTCATTTATCGACCCTCTGAAGGGATGAAAGGCTGAGTAAACCTTGCCCGGCCCGAGGATCGAATCCATGGAGCTAAGAGTAGATGGAGGAGACATTAGCAGAAATTCGTGAAGCCGAAAGCTCAGCAATGTTAACCGCGAAATTAACCGTCGGCCATCTTACATACTTCAAAACATTGGCAGTTGTAGCTCGTTTATGCTTGAATTGTCGTATGTTCGGACAGTCATTATCATTTTTATTTTATTCGTTATTCGAGTAGTCTTACTTTGTCTTATTATTTTTTCTTGGACTTCTTATTATTTTAATTATATTATTTTAATTATGACTTCTTGCATCTTAAGGTTTTATGTTACTTTATAAAAATTTCAGCTGTAGTTTTATTTATTTCTGTCGAAGTTNATAGTGATTGTTAAATGAACTTGACCTAATATTAACTTTACCAAGAATTCCATTTGTTTTAAAAATTCTGTCAAGTTGAAATGTTTTTTCTAAAAGTTAGAAATACGAAAATTCTAACGGCTAAATAAAAATGGAGAAAGATTGGATGGATGGATCTCTTATTTAACTTAAAAGACTAAACTCGACACTTTAAATCAAATTAAGAACCCTTCAAAACAGCCCTCCAAGCTCCGTTAAAAAGCATGGATTAACTACAAATAGAAAGATGTATGAGCGCACAACGACGCAGCAAGTAAGATGGCGACGGAGAACTCTCGCGGTTGCTTCCCCTTGAAAGGAGTGGGCCAATGGGAGTGTGTTCTCCACTTACTCCTAGCTCCATGATCGAATCCAGGACCTATGGCACGGGAGCGCGAAGAGCTACCACTCAGAAACCGGGCGTCAGAAAATATTAAGAAAGTCTCAAAATTTTTGTGCATAATAAGAAATTATAATAGCAAAAGACAGTCTCTAGTTTAGTTCACTCCAAATTTTGAGAACGTATGTGGTATGCCATTATAGACATTACGTATTTCTTGGGTTTTAAAATTTCACAAATTTAATTTTTAATCATGCTGAATGCAATTTTGATTAAACTAAAGTAATTAAATGATTTTTATTATAAGATTAAGCGAATATAAATATTTTAACTATCAATGAATCGGCTAACTTTTTAATTCAATACAAATGCATAACTCATTTATTCATTGTTGCGACTATTCGAATATTAAAATTTGTTTTTAATTCTATTTTTCTTATGCTGCTTTATTTATCTAGTCACAGTTACAGGGTTACATTAAATTCTCAGGGTCTTTTTGGTGATCAAGTAGTAGCAGGATTATATAAACTTTAATATTAATTTCTTGGTTATAACAGTAATCGATAATTCGGATTTCTTTGGATGCCTGAGTCTCTCGGATCGATAACAACTTTGGATCTCTTCCTATGCTCCTGAGTGTCCGTTAGCAACTAGGACCCTCAGGAGTTTTCCTTTGGAGTCTTTGGATACCTGCGAGCCCATCTGTTCGACCGTTAATAGTTTAAAAAAAGTTTTTAAAAATTTATCATGAAAATATGGACGTGTCTTTACCTCATAAAGAGAGGCAGCTTTGTCGCATCCTATTATAAGTATGGCCATATTTTGTTTTGTTTACTTTAAAAAAATACTACCTAAATAAAGCAACAAATTTTTGTTCGAAGTCTCTGCAGTAATTTCTCTTTCACTACAAACTAAAATGTACCAGAAATTCCCACTATACCTACAATGCCTCCATAGTATGCTCTCGAAATGTCGTCGGACTTGCAGACTTTAAAAATTATGTTCTTAGAATTATTGAAAGTAAAATAAACAAAATGAAATTTTTTTTCTTACATATAATGCTATTAATGTATTTTTACATCAGTTTCTTCTTTTTAAAGCAACATTAAGAATAGAAATTGTAGTTTAAGTATTCGCAAATTTTAGAAAAGTAATGGTAAGTGAATAATGGTTTTAATTCAATATACTACTATAAGTATTGTAGAGAAAAATTCATATGATATAAAAAGAAATTTTCAATTAATAAAGCGATAAAGATGATTGATGTTGATGAACATTTTTTATACCTAAAATGTTGTTCAGGAGAATTTATCATTTCATAGCTATTGCAGTTTTATTTTGATGCATGAAAAAACAGTGATAGAAATTATCTCGCAGTTAATTTTTTTATTTATTTTAACTTTATTTATTTATTTAATTAAAACTTCCTCAATGTATGTTTTTCTGAAGTATAATTTTAAAGGTCCTCTCTCAAGGATAGCTACTTATTTGCTTTCTTCTTCTTAAGCGTGAAAGTACAAAAAAAATCTTTTAATTTAGTAATTTTTAATCACAAAATTGTTTGTAGAAACATGTCATAGGCGGCGATGACATAATTCACATTACTGAAAGTACAGATGATATCTGCTTTACCTGGGTGCTTAGTGTTGATAAAGACGTTAAATTCAATGGAGATTAAATAGAATGAAATGAAATTATTTAAAAGCTAAGAAATTTGTAATGCCTATATTGCCATGAAAGAAACATTATTAAAATTATCGATGATATGTACCTTACCTGGGTGTATAGTGTTAACAAAGATGTTACTCTCAATTAGATTAAATATAAATCAAGGAATTAAACGAAATTTAAAAGTTCAGAAATTTTTAACTCTTTATAATGACACGACAGAAGCATTATTAAAATCCAGATGATATATACCTTACTGGGGTGTATAGTAAGAAATATGTAATGCCTACAATGGCATGGTGGAAGTATTATTAAAATCATTGATGATATATGCCTTACCTGTGTGCAAAGGGTTAATAAAGATGTAACACTCAAAGCTACTCTTGCAGGGACAGCGTCGGTTTCTAACCAAAAAGTAATCCAACTCATTATGACAATAAGAGTTGAGGGGGTGTACGTGTTAATAATGCTGCCCGACAGCCTTCGAACTAGAGTGATATTAGTGATAAGACTTGTATAAGAACCTGCAATTAATAAAGTAAGAGGAAGAAAGGATGATTAATGACGAAAGAATATATGTTTGAAGGTTAAACAAAAAGATCATAATAACGAGAAATTTGTATTATTCCACGCGAAAACAACATTTGATATCACGTTTTTGTTTATGATAGTCAATTATTTTGGAATAAAAGTGCCTGTTATTTAAATAAAGCATTCATTTTGAAGGAAAAAATGATTGAAAAAAATTACGTTTTCTTTAATAATATTAATAATTAATTCTTAATTAACTCTTAACATAATAATAATTCATTCTTAATAAAAAACTCTCAAGAGGACTCCTAAATGGAAAATTACCCTCCAACTACATTAGTAATTAATTACAAATTATGACAAGATTACTTATACTTTTCAGAACAGCAGCTAATCCTTCCTTAGCTTGTTTACAATTTGATATTTGGAAAAAATAACTTCAGCAATTTCAACTTCATACTTGAATTAATTTTTTTTATACTTTAAATTAGAAATTACTAATTTAATTGAAAGAGAATTTTCCATAAATGGTTTCAAAAGGCCTCTAGAGTAATTTGATAAATCAAATGAAACAAAAATGGTAATATTTTACAGGTTTTCCAAAAAAATATTGGTTATTTAAAAAAAATAATGATTTGAAGAATTTCGTACATAATAATGACAAGAAAGGGATAAAACCCAATACTATGCTCAGTATTTAAGTATTTAGATCAGCTTGAAACCAAGGAAGGAAAAATAGTACAAATATATTCAAGGCTAATTTTTTTTAAGAATCTGAAATTCTAACGCCAGAGTACTTTATTTACGTCGTATACTTTTCTTTTAATAAAGTTCATTAACAAATACTGAATTTTGAGGATATGCTGAATTATTTATCGATGATAAAAAAAAAACATTTTGAGCTTTAAATCACATTAATTTGCTAATTTTGTAATCAATCATCACCAGAGTTTATTTTGTTTAAACTATAGTGCATTCAAACATTTTAAATATTGGGTACAACATAAAGTGAAATTAATTCGACTTAAATCTGTTGAATAAAAGTCAAATTTCGTTAAAAATTCTTCTCCTTTCAATAAAAATTAAAAGCTTTAGCATAAAATCAAGAATAAATATTAAAGAAAAAAAAACTGAAATCATTCAGATTTGTAAAAAATATGCAGGGAGCACGATGGTAAAAATATTAATATTCCGATTGTATTATACCAATATTTACGCATTTATAATGATTTTTTTTAAATATATAAAAAAAAATTGTTTTGAGAGAGATCAAATCCCAGTGATGGCTGATTGATACGAATCCGGTTTACACCGACCAATGTATTGATGTAAAATATCCTCAGTGGTAGATGGATCATGGGTTAGAGTTCCCTTGCCATCAGGCTAACCATGGGATGATCTCGTGGTCTTCCTCTCCATGTAACGCAAATGCCGGTTAGTTCCATCGAAAAGTCCTCCACGAAGGCAAGTTTTACCAATACTTGATCTAGGTGTTCCCTTGTCTTCTGGATTGGGCTCAAAATTAGAAACCTACGGAGTTGAACATTAGTAGTCCTAAACCCAAAAAGTGGGTCTGATGCTCAACTACAGTTATGAAATAAAATAAAATCTATTGTCATGTGACTAAGGGGATAGAAGGTTTACCTTCCAATGAGGGGAAATTGGTTCGAATCCCAGCAATCAATACTTACGGTCTCCGAAGATTTCAGTGATGGAATGTAAAGTTGGTTTCAAAAGGTAAAACTGAAGAGGTTCTGGGTGTCGAACCATTTCAAGGACTTGAACTGCGTCTTTAAAGGGACTTTTATCGTCATCAATCCATTTTAAAGTAGCCTCAGAGTCAGGATGCACTAAATGAAATTCATTAAAAATAAAATTAAATTTTATACAGTTACGGAAAATTATTGATTATCCCCTGTCTATCTCCAGGACAATCTTGTGTACGCAAAATGCTTAAACATCATCTTTAAATGAAATTATTTTTTTTATAGATGGAATATTTTATTAGTCTGGCCTTATTTTCCATTATATTTTGTCTTATGCTACTTTTGTCCGTTTGTGATTTTGTTCCCGATAGTTCGAACGTAGTAGCTTTTCTTGGATAAATTTTACTTTGTGTTCATAAATTAAGGAAAAAGAGTTAAAACTCGATAAAAATGCACGTGATAATTCCCAACTCCAAACATTTTGCAAGCTGTCCACTATTTTAGAGCATTTTAAATTAGCAGATATTATGACTTTTGCTATTTAACAGCTTTTACTGACTGTAGAAATAATAACAATACATGTTGTAATAATGATAATTATGTTGTAGTAAGGATATCTTTGTAGAGCTCTCACGATCAGCACTCAAAAGTACTTTAATATTAATACATTTCACTCGGCTTCTCATAAAACAACAATGAATCAACTAGTGGTATACGTACATCGAATATATCACAGATAAAATTCTGGTGGGATAATACTTTAGTATGTCTACCAATACAAAAACACAATTCCAATTCACTAGTATATAATACATGTTAACTTAATTATATGAAGGGACAACTATTCATAGATGAATGTTAACATTATTGATAATACACGTACCACAATACGAAATCAGACACAAAAACGACTTAATCTGAATAAACACATCTTTTTCCCCAACGGAGTTGAATTTTTGTTTCTTAAACTGGAGAAGCTTAGCTGCTATTTGGATAATTTAGTTCCGGAAGTTTAGTTAGAGGAACTGCCAGGAGTTTGAGCCACTCAATTTTGATTTCACTTTTTACGTATTTGGAGTGTATTAGGTTTTTAAAAGAACATGGCATTATTTATGGTGTTGGAAAGTTCATACATCAATAATCATAAATGTACTTACTCATCCCTACTAAAAATAAGCATTTTTGAACATCAAATGGATAATATGTAAAATCCATATTGCAGCCAGATTTGAATAAGTATCTAAAAATAACAAGGTTAGTTAAAGTATTATACCGCATCAATAGAAAGAGTTTGCTCACTTTTCTGAGAGGTTATCTTCTGCCTCCCTCTTATGCAAGTTCGTACTACACAATCTCCAACCGGTCAGTAATTACTAAACTTTTTATTTGCTTTACGATTCACTTTATAGATCTAGTTAGGCTGGAGGAAAAAATTAATCGGACAGAAAGGTGCGCAAAATCTCTTAAATAAGCAACCTAATTTGAAACTTATTATTGCTTTGACCTTCAAAGCAATAGCCAATTCATTTTGCATTGTAAAAAATTCCGGATCAAATTACGGTAAAAAGTTCCGGTACCTTTGGATGCATTTTCCGGAAAATTCATTTTTACCGTAAATTTCCTACTGTAATTTTGACAATAATTTTTATTTAATTACGGTGAGTCAGTAATATTACAGCAAATACTTTAAAAATTACGGTCTATCAGATATGGTATTTTACTGTAAAACGTATTGGCACCCTGAGTGATTGTACTCTTTACCGTAAATTGAACCAGAATAGAATTAAGATTCTTTATTGTTTTATTACTTTATTTTGTTACTTTTCCTATTCTATTGCTGCAAAATCTTCAAAAAACGTAAAAATTAAAAAAATAATAATAATGACACGGCCAGCATGTATTTTTTTTAAAATCAAAATATCACAATGTGATTTTTTAACATGTATTTTTTTTATCTGATGCAATTTAAAGAAGTAACGTTCTGATAGTGTAGATAAATTAAAATTATATTTTTAAATCATAAATAAAGTGCTGAGTACCATGTGGAGGAAAATAATTTTGCACTTACGATTTTTGAACCATGTTTGTAGTAAATGGTAAAAAAGCCGCATAGTTTTATATTCATCATCTTATATTAGTAGCTGTAAACGGTTTTGAAATCATCAGGGAAAAAATGTTCTTTACCGTAAACTTTACGGTTAATTGCATAGACAGACTGCGGCCGGTTACTTTACTCTAAGTTTAGAATAAAATTTTTTAACAGTGAAAAAAATGTTGCAATTTTAACTTTATTTGGAATATGAATAATATTTATGGCTTAAATACGACTTATTATTATCTAATTACGAAGCCTTTAAATGAAACAGCTTCTACGACGTACAGATCTTTTAGCTTTATAATTTTTTTTTACTAATTAGGGTGTACTTACCTTTTACTTTTAAAAAGTGTGCCACCTGAAAATACTTCTAAAGTTAAATCTATCTCAGAGCTCTGGAAATTTTCGATATGTTTAACTGTTTCATAAAATATATCAGGATTCCAAATGTTCTTTAGGCAACAAGCAGGTAAGAAAATGGAGGGTTTTGTGAAATTCAACTTATTAAATTCTATTCTGTTATCTTTCCAGGCTGTGTTTACGTATACATGAAAAAGATAACTCTGTAATTAGATACAAATAAAGATAAATGATTAATGCAATACAAATACAAATACAGATACAAATAAAGATAAATGATGGAAATCAATTTTTAAAACACTTTTAAATGTTTCTTCTAAATAAATGTCTTAACCTAATTTTCATAAATGGACAGCACGTTCAATGATTTTTACGGCAAGCATAAATTGTACATGCTTAAACACTTGTAAATATATTTATAATTCATACGGTTTACTGTATAAAGCGTGATCAATTTTGAAATCTTCAGACCCAATAATGTTCGATGTTCGAATTTTAAGGAAAAAGATCTTAAAATACGGTCTTTTTGGGGCGCAGGTAAGTATTTATCAATTTCAGGTATTACGATTGCACTATTAACCTCATGAATAAACTTTTAGAGTATCCTTCTTTTCATTAAAATAACAAATTAATCCTGATTATTGCATTTAATCATTCTAAACACTAAAATTATACTTTTAAAATTATACGTGATTATAAAAATGTAAGAAAACACATTGACCATAAAGTAAAGATTATATAGAAATTATTCTTAATACATAATTTTTTTTAGAAAAAAATATTTCTAAAGCGTACTAATTGAAGTTTTGGAGACATATTTGTTTCATTTCTGCTTCGCTTATTTACATTTTATTTTTTAATCTTTCCATAATTCTTTTGAAAGAATAAATTCTTCGATAGCCGCTCAATTTGAGTTAGTTTGGTTTATAAAATACATTTGATTACAGATAAGAAGTGTTATAGGAGATTTTTACAAAACTATTCAATAAATACTGCAAAGTGTTTTTAAAACTTAATTATTAGTTTCTTGAGGAAATCTTCAGACTTTTTTAATTGCAATAACACATTTAAAAAAATGGGAATATACTAGAAGTGGTATTATAGCTGGTTAATCTTACCAGGTATAAAGTTTAAATTAAATCGGAAAGTTTGAAAGAGTCAAGCTGGTTTTTAGAAAAGTTTCTTTTGTTAATGCAGCTCTTTTTATTCCCATTTTTTTAGTCCTTAACATGCTAAAAGTTATTTTTTGTAAACGTTTTCAAAAATTCCAAATACTCGAAAAGATAATCATGATTTTACAAGAGGCTGTGCTATTATAAAATCTATGAGAGATTAAAATTTAAACGCGGTTTTTAAAGTTAAAGCAATAAAAAAATTATTATGCAAGACTGTTAAAAAATAATTTCAGCTTTTTTGGAAAACTACTGAATTTAATAGAAATGAGTTTTGTTATAATGAGTTTTATCACTTTTGCCGTTAATTTTTGATGGTTTTAAAAACCATTAAAAATTAAAATCTTCGTAATTTCGTAAAAACGTGGTCATTTTTATACAGTTTATTCATAATTATTAGAACTTTGGAATTTTAAAATTACTTTTAATTTAGTTAATCTAAAATGGCTTTTAATCTCGTTGAAATAAGATCAAATATTTTATCGTCAGGAAAAGCTTATACTTGAATTCCTGAAACTCTTAACTTTCTTTCTGTGCTTTTAAAAGCACAAAATACAAATCTACTCGGAAGGAGAACTCATCTAATTTAGCAAACGAAATCAGCCAAAATCGCCATAAGAGAGGACTCACGTGACAGGAGGGACACTAATATTGGCGACAAAAACAGAGAAATATAACAGTCCGCTTGCTCTACTTAGATTAAAGTGCACTAGATTGACCTCGGTAATAAGCGGAATGCTCAATTTTTTCAGTCTATCAGTCATTTGCAAGTGAAATCAAGGAGAAACAACACATAGTATTTTCATACAGAAAAGTAATTTTTTTTTGTGCAAATTTTTCTTTCCTTTGCCATCTGACATTAATGCATACAAAAATTACTTTTCTGAAAAAACAAATAGAATTTTTTTTTATTAACATTAATTTACTAAAATCAATATATATATATATGTTTAACTTTACTTTCTATTTTATTGTATTTATTAACAAAATGGCAATTAAGGGAAATGTATTAAATCTAAGGTTTTATCAAATAATCTTGTCAAGAAATTGAGAAGAGTCACAGTATGAAAAAAAAAAATCAAAAAATATAAAGAACAGCAATAAACAAACAAAGAAACGAATAATAAAAAGTGTTTTCAGTTCACTGATATAGCGTTTCACTGATATAAACTAAATTCATTCTAAAGTTTCAGTGCAAAACCGTTATTTTTCCTCTTTAACTTATCACTTTAAAAGTATCAAAGCTTTATCAGTATTCGACACTCTTTAAGTACAGCTATTGCTTGCAAAGTTTTTTAGACATTTAATTATTACTTTATAATAGGTTTTCATAAATAGGTTTCAATCCCATGAGTCAAAAAGTGTCAAACTACCTTTAAGCAAGGAAGTTTAAACACGTTTTCGCATTTTTAAAAAATCATTAATAAAATGAGTAGTTTGAAATTTAACTAGAAAATAATAATTTAAACAAATGATAAACTATCAAATAATGTCAATTTTGAAATTTTATTACATTAAAAAAATGAAAGTTATGTAAATATATAAGTAAAAGTTATATTAGTAAAATATATGCAAAAAGGGAGTCAACTCTCCCAGGTTTCCTCTACTACATAGAAGTCTGACAGTACGCCAGAAAATCTTTTCTTTTTGAAAAATTGAAAACTATGAAAAAACATAGATTTTCTTTTCTTTAAAAATATAAATTTCCATGAAAAATTATACATATTTGTGGAGTGACATATTTCATTCGTTGTTTCATATTTGAGTATGCTCTTAACAATTTGATTGATTTTAATTTAGAAATTTTATTCATTAAAAAATATAAGTACACATGCAAGAAGGGAGTAAACTTTTCAATGCTTCCTCTACTAGATTGAAGACTGACAATACGTAAGAAAATTTATTCTTTTTGAAAAATTAAAACATATGAGAAAACATACATATATTTTTTTTAAAAATATAAATTTATATGAAAAATTATACATATTTATGCAGTGACATTTTTTACTCTTTGTTTCATATTTGAGTATGCTCTTAACAATTAGATTGATTGTAATTTAGAAATTTTATTACATTAAAAAAATATAAGTACACATGCAGAAAGTGAGTAAACTTTTCAATGCTTCCTCTACTAGATTGAAGTCTGACAGTACGCAAGAAAATTTTTTCTTTTTGAAAAATTGAAACCTATGAAAAAGCAGATTTTCTTTTCTTTAAAAATATAAATTTACAGGAAAAAGTATACATATATCGGCAGTGACATTTTAAGTTCTTTGTTTCATGTCTGAGTATGCTCTTAACAATAAGATTGATTTTAATTTTGAAATAAAAAGATAATGTCAAATAAGTGCACTTACCATAGAGCCCTCGTCAATTTCCCCAATATCTAGGACTTGAAAAGCGACATAAACTGTATTTGAAGAAAGTTCAAATTAAAAACATTATATAAATGAATATGCTTATTTACGTATATTATATAAATGTTCTCGAAAATGATTTGTATTATTTATTTCTAATAACCTTTCTAATAACCTTTCTTTTTAATAACCTTTTGGCCGAATCAAGGGGTGCAACAACCTACACGATCTACCATATTTACCAATAAGTATTCGGACATCTATGATTGAAAAGAAAAACAAAATGCATTTATATTCAATGTTGGCTAAGATTCTGTGAGAGATGTAATGTGCCGAACTGCAATCCAGAAAAATAGACTCATGGCTATGAAAGTCTGAAGAGCATCTTAGAAGGAACAGATCTTAATTAAGACCATTATTTGAGTGTGCCCGGCTAAGGGAAAGCCTTGTCCGTTCGGTTAAGCCCATTGCCATCCTATCAATTAATCATGGATCTCGCAACATGACAGTGTCCTTGTAACTTGTATTCGACGCATATAACTGCCATAATTTTTGATGAAAACTGTAATCTAAAATAATTTTTCTTATTCTTAAACTTAACCTTTAGTGTACAAGGTATAAATATTCTTAATTTTTCATTTTTTTGTGAAATATAGTTACATTTTAAAATCTATCATAACTATGCCTTACTCTTTTACTACATTATTTATGTTATTATTTGTCAAATAAACAGTTTATATTTGATGAATATTAACTTTTTTGCTAAGAAGTTAGTCATCGGAAAAAAATTGTACAACTGAGCTAAATATAAAGTTATATTTTTATATTTAAAGAACTGAATCAGTTTATCAATAATTCATTTGCACAACTTTGATGTTTCCCCTTGGCTAGTATAAAAAAATGTAACTTGATACCGCTAAAATCATTTAGAAGCGGAAAATGATATTTCAGGGAATTTCGCAAAGATTTCAACAACTGATTTCATAGTCAATCTCTTTCATAACTCCATTCAGAAAATTTTTAAGCTACTTGTCGTAACTCTCTTTTAAGTCAGGAACTCTAACATTAAATAGCTTCAGTTTTTCTATCATTTTTTTGTTCCAAGGTATCTTACAACGAATTTTTTTGTATTTAATAAACTGTATATCATGCTAGTATAGGTACTTACTATTGTATTTAGTGAACAATTGTACATGAAACAAATTAAGGACTGTTTTCTCTAAATAATAATAGTTATTAACAGCTTGAAAATTTGGGATCGGATTTCCCAATTTGAAAGAACATTTTTGACTATTAAATTTTGTTTTTATAATAGTGTGTGTTGTAGTAGAGTTTTAATAGTAGTATTTAAGTAAAGATTTTTAAATTAATTACCTTCACTTCCAGTGGCTTTATAAAGTTCGTAGTTTTCCGGCAAAATTTCTAAGCAACAGTCCAATGAATATTTACTGAAAAAAAAAGAGTCTTTGCAATCTGAAACTTAATTGCAGAGTGGTTACAATTGAAATGACGGTTCAACCGAACATAGGGTCATTTGGGTTGAAAGTGAGATCATCAGGCTGAGATTTCCGTCGAAAAATACTTTGAAATATTGTTGATAGATGGTGCTGTACTGCTAAAGCCATGTTTAAATGATGCATATGCATATTGTTGACCGGCATAAAACAAGCAGGCGTGTAAATAAATAAAATATTCTGTTATTTTCTGTATTTTGACCTCTTATCTTTCTTCTCACTGCTCTAAAGCGCCACCTGATGGTGAACTTTCGAACTGTTTTTTTCTTCAACAGAAACCTCCGTCGATAATGATCTTGATAACATATATATGAAGTAACACTTGAATCTATTTAGTATGACCAGAGTTAGAAGCCTCTGCGTACTGTCAGATAAATTGTAACACATCTATTAAAACTAGAAATTTATGAAATATCACAAAAAATCATAAAAACTACTAAGTAATGAATAAAAAATATAGTAAAATACATAAAGTAGGAAGTGAATTGAAAGAATACATTTTTGAGAAAGAATTAATAAATGGATGAAAAACTATGAATTAAAGAAAAGAAGCATTTTACCTATCACAAATTGCATTAAACTGTAATAAAATAATTATAATTAAATCGCTTAAAATCCGTAATAGCATTTTTATGTTTTATCTTAATCACACTCTTAAGCTTTTAAAAATAAGTTAATTAAATTATAGAAGCTAAAAATTTATTGCATCTACTGTTCGTTTCCAATCTACCACACTGGGACGATACTATTTCGAGTAAAGGTGAGATGTTCATTGAAATGTTTAATTTTGAAGACTCTCTCTCATTTTTCTCGATATTGAAATAGTACAGGTGCATGCGCAAATGAGAGGAAGATGCAGTACACGTATACAGTTAAAATACAGCATAAGTATCGACACGCAAGCTAAGCATGATAAATTGCGAATTCTAATTTAGGAGACATATACTCTCAAATTAATTTTTTTTTATGAAAATAAAACATCACTTCTTTAAAGCAATTTGCTGTGTTCCATGGAATAAATTATTCATCAATTACAACCTTCAATATTCTTAACTTTTTGGTTATTGGATTTTTTTAAATTTGAGCAAAAATGTAAATAAATAACCATTAACACGAAAGAGTTCGGAAATTTAGAAATATTTGAATGTCATTTTCTATACTTTCAGATAATCAATATACACTAAAGAAAAAGAATTCACAGATAATAGAGACAAGCAATATGCTTGGATATTTCAACATACAAAGTGTTTGCTGCCACTACGAATGCTAACTATTGACTTCTAAACATGCTTGAAATTCGATATTTTCTGACAGGACATAAGTATACTTCGCATGCAAAGATATCATTAGATGCGATACATTACGGATAATTCTCAAAATGGCTGTTTTAATGGTGCGTGAAACCATTCGTTAAAATAAATTTGAATAAAAACAAAACAAATTTGAAGCAAGTATTGCGATATTTCATTTCTTTTATTTTAAATCACCTCTTTGTAGTAAAGCTAAATTACCATACATTTAAAAATTATATGTTACTTATAGATTATAGATTTTGAGGCATAAATTAGCTAAGTAAAGACATTGTTACTAAATCAACAATACACAGAAAGAAAGTTAAGTTCATTACAAAAGCAATTTACCATTTCTATCAATATTTATGAAAAGCCATTAATATTTTTGCGAGATTTGAAAATGTTAAAAATTCTACAAATAAATAATGATTGAGGCTCAGTTGCACATTTCATGTTGATAATTTCGATGCTTTGAGTTGTTTCAATGCAAATTTAGTTTCAAAGGGAATTTAGATTTCCTCTTGACAGTGTGAAAAATGTACTGACATCAGAGTGGAATGAAAATGGCTTGATGTGAGCTGTTAAAAAGATCTTAGAATTGTAAGAAAAAGAAGTTCCTAATTTTGGATGTGGATATGTTACCCGGAGATATTTTTTTACGCAGTTTTACGCTCTAAGTGAATAATAAAATTTTTTATATTAAATTGGTCAACCATATTATTAAGTAATGTTGATATTTTTTTTATTATGGATGATTCCTATTATTAATCTTGGTTCACAAAGATTGCTTTGCGATTCGAGCTAGTGTCTAGTTTCAGAGATTCTGCTAGTCCTCTCAAGTTCGCACGTTTAGCAAGAAGGAAAATATATGGAGGCAATTTAAAGAAAATAATTTAAATAGAAAATATGTATTTCACACAGTAATTATTAGAGAAAGTATTGTACCTGAGACCAGAAACTTAGAAAGTAATCCATTATATGTTTATCTAAAAATGCATCTTTTTTTGTGAACAAATTCTGTAATACATTTCTGAATTTTTTTTTTATATTCGGGAAATCGGTCCAAGATATCACGTGGTGTTGCAGTCTGACTATTGAATATTCCTCCTTGAATAACATTAATCTTGATTTTCTTTCTTTTTTTTCTTTTAGCTTGTTAGTTGACTAAACTTGGTTATTCACAAAATTAGAAATTATTTCACATGTGGCCTACGTAAGTTAAAATAAATCAAACTACTTTTCTATGTATAGACTTGATGCAAAAGAATATTCAAATGTAATATTTAAAAAAAATATGTATATATAACTTAATTAATAAAAAAAGTTTTTTTTACATATTGTGAATATCAGTGATAACTTGACTTGTGGTATATACTGTATCTCCTAAGGTACAATACAGATTCTGGTCCAAGGTACAACAATCATATACTTTTTTGTTGACTAACAAAACTGATTTTTTTAAAGGAAAAATATTGATATTTCACATAAAAAAGAGTGATTTTTTGGAACTTACCTACCTTATTTCTGATTTTAAAGGCAATTACTATAGGGTTTTATTTTCCAATCAAATAAATGGAAGAAAATAACTTAGAAACCAAACATTAAAATTTTTCTCTTGTCATACTTTGGGAGCGTGAAATGATCCCAATACAGTAGTATAAATTGTTACTGGTATCAACTACATGTACTGAAAACAAAATTACTCCTTTGAGTAGTACAAATAATTGCATCGGATGGTAAGACAATCTATCCTAGGTTATGAAGCGTGTTTTCTTAAAAAGAAAAGAAGCATTAAGGAGAAGTAGAATTAAGGAAGAAATTTAAGAAATTTTTATTCTAAACACTTTTGTCATAAAAAATTAAATAAATAATTCCAAGAAAGTGAAGAGGCAAGGTACTATCCGATTAGACACCCCATTCTCTCAAATAAACAAATGCGAAATAACCGTAGACATGTTTCAAGTGTTTCAAAAGAAATCTTCAATCTGTAACGTTGCTTCAATTCTTCGAGAAATATTCAATTGCTTCACATTGTTGGAATCTTAGGCATACATTCAATTTCAATAATGCTGAAATTATTATTTCTCCAGTTACATAATCTCATTTTGATGGCCTGGAATCTTGGAATCTTTTCGCAATTAATTCAAAATACTTTTAGAGAATTAAACAAAGAAAAGTATCTATTTAATGCATTTTTCATAATTAACAGAACGCACTAAAATAGCTTAAACCAGAATGAGATTAGCAGATTATTCCCACTTCAGAATTTTAAAACTTTATCTTAGGAATATATGAAGTTAGAAACACTGTTTCTAAATCAAGACCTACCAATATATATTTTTAAACATTTTTAATCAATGTTTTTAAACATTTATAATATTTTATATATGTTTAATAAAAATTTCAACTAAGATTTAGATAAATAAGAACATTTAAAATACATTTTTGTGATAAAAATGTCTCCTTTAATGTATGACAAAAAAAATCTTTCAAATATATTCAAATATTTTATGCAAACATAAGTCACTATGTTCTGAATGATGTTAACATTAAAATCATACGTGAATTCATCGTATTTTCCCTTTGAGATTAGAAATATATATGAATCGGATTGAATCTCTGAGTCTGCAACAGCGACGAAAATTGAACCCCATCCAATTCTTGAAACCAGTGCGACGGCGATCGTTGGTTGTTGCAATAGAAAGAGGATGAAAGAAGTGCGCATGCGTATCATTGCAACAGGCGATTTGTTGCTGTTGCAGTCGGTATGGAGCCTCCTTTAGTTCCTTCCTTCCTCTATGTCTTTCCTTCTATATCTTATTTTTCTTGCAAGCGAAACAAAATTTAATGTAAAGTTGAACACCCAAAATAGCGACGGAGGCGCTTGCGACTTTTTAATATCGAGACAAAATATATGAATGTTTAATATATTAGGATGCAAAAAAGTCATTGCGCATAGGGAGACTATATCTCTCAATCTAAAATGAAACAAAATATAATAATTAGCAAATTAATATGATGTTTTAAAGTGTTTACATGAAGTTTATAACCAAATAAAGAACTTAGTTTTAATTGAAATGTGTTTGTTTCGGATTGTTACTTAAATTTTAAGGATGCTTAAACCATAAAAAGTAGTAATATCAAATAAATCAAACTTTTACTACCGTTCTCTGATAAAGAAGAAAGGTGCAGACTTTAGTGAAAAATAAGTAATAAAAATGTTCAATTTACGAAACGTAACTTTTTTTCCTGATTGCGTGTTCATAACAGTCTTTTCTTTTTTCTCCTTATGTCATAATTTTCTTTTGATCAATAAAACATTTTTGAAGACGTATATTTACATTATTATCTTTTCTTATTAAATTTTATTTGGTCTTCCTTCTTTTTTGAATAAGTCTTAATTCTCAAAAAATAAGATCATCCTAAGATTTTCAAATGATTGAAACTAAAATATATGCCAAAGTATTAACGATTTGTTGGAATTTGTACCGCTACAGAAGTACCATTTGTCTTTTGTTATCTTCGGCCCGTTTTCTTCAAATTTACTTTTCATTTTTTTCCCTGTTGTGTGTCTTTCCAAAGAAGTTCGAATACTTTGTCAAGGAGCAACTTCGAAATTGGGAATTTAAAGCGCAGTAGTAAATTTATTATTTAAGCTTGTAGAACATAAGATTTCATGACATTTAAAATGAGCTAATTTCTCATTGCAGGCAGCAAACACATGAATTTTAAATGCGAAAATAAATTCAAGACAAATATTGCACATTCACAATGTGTTATTTAGTTATTTTGACATGTGTAATAAATTTTTACTTGACTTCATTGCGCATAAATTAAAGGAGAAGGACAAAGTTGTTTGGTTTGTTGAAATAAAATTGTTCTGGTCTTCTCGATAGGATTATATTTGACTGAGGCTAATATTTAAGTGTCTAGTGTGCGCTTTTCGAATGCTCAAAAATACAGAGCTTTCGTCATAAGTTCATAGCTAAAGAAAGTAAGCCACGCCTAAGGT